AATCACCTGGAAGATTCCCCGGGCGACGTCTTCCTTCGGCCCATCAATGCTTTTTAGTACTTCCCCCTGCCCGTCGATGATTTCCACTTGGTTGTCGGCCGAGTGCATGGCCTCGGGCCCGTTGAGCACCATCAGGTCGCAGCTTTTCTTTTCCAGTTTAGCGAGCGCCCGCAGCCGGTGGTCTTCAGTCTCCAGCGCAAACCCGACTAGCCACTGATGGGTTTTCTCGGCCCCCAGGCTGGCGACCACATCGGGCGTTTCGATGAGGTGCAGCACGAGCGGTTCCCCGGTTTTGGCGATCTTGCCCGGTTCAACCTTCACCGGCCGATAGTCGCAGGGGGCGGCCACTCCAATCAGCCCATCGCACGACGGAAACACCTTGCGGCAAACGTCGAGCATCTCCTCGGTCGACACCACCGGGAGAACTTCGACCCCGGTGGGATACTCAACATCGACCGGCCCACTGACCATGACGACTTCGTGTCCGTGCTCGATCGCCGCCGCGGCCAACGCCGATCCCATCCGCCCACTGGAGGCGTTTGTCAAATACCGCACCGGATCAAGATACTGCCGCGTAGGCCCAGAAGTAATAAGAATACGTGCCACAGGAGCCTTGCCGAGAGAAAGGAACTTGGTCGAGAGAAAGTATCGTCACAGACTAGCGGCACGAAGTGTGGATGGCAACGAAATGCAAGATTGTTTCGGTGGCCAACGAGCGAAGTATCCCGCTTACCTACTCCGCCAGCGGGCCGTAAAGTTCGGGCCGTCGAAAGCGGAACAAGTATTCCGGCTCGGCTCGGGCGGCTTGAAGATCACCACGTTGGAACTCGGTGATGAGCATGCTGGGCTGACCGCTCTGGGTGCCGGCTGCTTCGAGAACATTGCCTCGCGGGTCGAGGGCGAATCCGCCGCCGGGGAAGTGTTGTTCAATGCCGGCGAAGGAGACATTTCCCACGTAGTTGACGGCCAGTCCAAACACACCGTTCTCGGCGCAGCGGCATCGCAAAGCCGCCTCGCACCAGGATTGCCACCCTTTGGTTGTGACTGGTGGCGGGTCAGCCGCGAATGGGAAAAGTACGATCTCGGCATTTTTGATCCCTAGGAGCCGGGTCGACTCGGGGAGTAATGCATCGAAGCAGATGTTGACACTAAGCCGGCCCAATGGGGTTTCGATCACCTCCGCAGCATGGCCAGCGTTGTAAAACGAGGTCTCGAACATCGGGATGTGCATCTTCCGCCACTTCCCCAGCAGACCCTCGGGGCCGACGATCACCTGCGTGTTGAACAGCAGGTTTCCGGCATCTTCGAGCAACCCAACGGAGAGTAGTGTCTTGCTCCTCGCAGCGATTTCAACTAAGCGGTCGATGGCCCGACCGGGAACAGCTTGGGCCATATCTCGGGCACCCTGCAGTGCAGCCCGCAGCCAGGTGTTGTGATCACCGATCGGATGATTCGGAATGAACCCGGTGAGCGAAAGCTCGGGGAAGAGGGTCAGCATGGCGCCCTCGCCGGCCGCGCGAGTGGCCCACTGCTTGATCTTCGCCAGGTTGCCCTCGAGATCCCCCGGCTTCGAATCGACGGCAACCGCTGCCACGCGAACCGTATCCAGCATCGTTTCTGAACTCCTGAATGTCTTCGTCGGCCAGTCCTTGTGATGTCCCAAAGAGCGAGTCAGACGAGCCATTGTACGTGGAGAAATCTCACTTGGTATGTGCAGCTCAGATACAGCATGAGGCGAGCTGTTAAGCCTTGGCTTTCATGGCGGTTCTAAGGATTTCATCGATTTTGACTCACCGGCCGAACCCAAGTGGCTCGATAACCGAAAAGGGGGGCCAGTCTCAGCGCTGCGCTCTGCTACCAGGGGATGCTGTCGAAGCAGGTAGTGTGAGGCGAATCATGAATCTCTTGCCAGCGATCGCGGGAAAACCACTTGAAGGCCAACTGGAGGACGTCGCACCCTGGCAGTCCTCGCACTGGCCGCGAGTTGTCGAATATCTGACTTGGGCATTCGTCGCGCTGGGCGTCATGTTGCGCTTGGGTCGATACCTCTTGCGGTTCCCCTTGTGGGGCGATGAGTGTTTTCTGGCGAGCAACTTCATCGATCGCGGCTTTGCCGACTTGCTGGGCCCGTTGGAATACAACATGGTGGCCCCGCCGCTGTACCTCTGGGCGGAGTTAGCCTCGGTGAAAGCCTTCGGCTACAACGAATGGTCGTTACGTCTGGTAGCCGTGATCTGCAGCGTGGCCTCGCTGTTCGTATTCCGTCACTTGGCAGGCCGATTGCTTTCCGGCACTCCCTTACTGCTGGCCGTGGGTATCTTCTCGGTGGCGTACTACCCGATTCGCCACGGCTGCGAGGTGAAGCCTTACGCCGCAGATCTACTCGTCGCCTTGCTCCTCATGACGTTCTGCGTCGAGTGGCTTCGCAATCCCCAAAGAACCCGATGGTTGTGGGCACTGACCGCCATCGTGCCGTTGACCCTGGGGTTCTCGTTCACCGCCGCATTTGTCGCCGGAGGGGTCGCGATCGCGATCGGAATGACGATTCTTAGTCAGCCGAGCCGCCGTGTTTTGGTTGCATATGCGGCATACGGGCTGGTCTTACTGTCGAGTTTCGCCGCGGTATACACCATTACGGCGAAGACCCAATACGCAAGCTACGAAGAAAGTGGTCTGACACAATGTTGGGCGAACGACTTTCCACCGTTTAGCGAGCCTCTCAAGCTGGCTCCTTGGCTCTTGGAGCGGCATACCTCACACATGTTCGCTTATCCGCTTGGCGGTGCGCGCGGGGGAAGCACGCTAACGGCCTTGTGCATTCTGGCGGCCGTGGTTTTTCTCGGCGTTCGCAAGCAGTATGCGTTACTGGCTTTGTGCTTCGTTCCACTAGCACTCTGCTTCGTGGCCGCTTCAGTCCAAAAGTATCCCTACGGTGGTAGCCAACGCACGATGCAGTTCATCGCCCCCATGGCATGTTTACTGACCGCGGTTGGAATCACGTGGGGGCTTGCAACTTTAGGCCACATCTATTGGCGACATCGAGCAATAGCCACATTGAGCGTAATACTAGCGGTATTTGGACTGGGCAATATGGCCCGCGATCTGATACACCCTTACAAGACCATTTATGACCTGCAAGCCCGCGAGTTCGCTCGTTGGTTTTGGCTCGAGAATGCTGAAAATGCTGAATTAGTTTGCGTGAAACGCGACTTAGGCGAGGTGTTTACGCCTATGCTTTGGGAGTACGATCGCTCGGCAATTTACCAATGCAACCAGGCGATCTATTCGCCGCGATGTCAAGAAGGCCTACAGCCAGAAATCAACGAGGTCTCCTCAGAACGCCCGCTACGTTGCGTGCTTTACAACGAGAATCCGGTGACGAATCCCAAGTTTGCCGATTGGCTCGACGGGATGCGATCGGAATACGACCTTCGGGAGGTGCGGCTCTTCGAAGTGAATTCCAAGGCCGACCGACCAGGACATGAAGACAACTACGTCGTCTATGAATTCGTGCCGAAAACCGAAATCGTCGAGTTTGCAGAAGCCCCAGAAGTGCCATTGCTCCGGTAGCAGCGCGACGAGACTTGTTGTACGTACGAACTTACCCCACTGCAGAGTTTTTGGGGGCTAGTTCACGGCGTGGCTGAGTTCTTAGAGAAAAACCCCCGGGTGGTCTTTGTTGGGCTGCTTGTTTTTTTCTGTCTGCTGATTCGACCGCAGTGGTATCCCACGCCCGACAGTAGTGCGTATCTGTCGATGGCGCGAAGTGTCGCCAATGGGGAAGGCCTACAGCGGTTCGGGAGCGAGTTGCTCTGGTACCCTCCCGGCTATGCGGTGCTGATCAGCCCCCTGTTTACGATCTCTGACCGGCCATTCTTGGGGATCGCCTTTCTCCACCTCGCCATGGCCATGCTCTGCGCTTATGGCGTGTACCTCTGGGCGAAGCGGCTAACCCCCGATGCGGCGGTTGTCCTCACGCTGTTGGCTGTGACGAACGTTCTTTTTTGTATCCACTTCCGCAGAACGCTTTCAGAACTCGCCTTCACCTGTGGACTAATCTGGTCGGTCAATCTTTTTAACTTCCTCAACGAGCGAATCGCGCGCGGAAGTTCGTGGTTGCTCTACCTGGCGGCGGGGGTATTTCTGGGCGGTGTGTGTTTTATTCGCCACGCTGGTCTGATGATGGCCGCCGGCTTTGCTTGGGCCATGTTCTTGACCGAGAGGGCTGGACAACTAACCCGCGCAAGAGGTCTGGTCTACGTGCTGCTCGTTGGGCTGCCCGCAGCTATGGCAGTCGCCACACTCATGATCAACGAAGAGCGTGCTGCGAGCGATCTGGAGGGCAGAACCTACCTCGACAACTTTGCAGAGAATGAGAGTCATTGGGTCTTGCAAGGCATAGAAGGCCTGCGGATGCAGATCGGCGCCGTCGCCCGCGTTGTCGTGCCAGGTATGTTCAAGGTTTACAGCGACAGCCGCAACTGGCTGCACCCGACAACCCTCTTGTACTTATCAGTATTTGCAGTCATCTGCGTCGGATGGATCCGTCTGGCGCGCGGAAAGCCAGATGTGCTGGTTCTCGCGGCCCCGTTCTATCTGTTGCTGCACTCGGCCTACGCCATGGAAGCCGGGGCACGTTTCATGGTGCCTGCGGCACCGCTGATCGTGGTCTGCCTATACGTTGGCTTTCAAGGTTTCTCGGCAAGGCGCGATGCCTTTGCCGCTCTACTGGCGATTCACATCCTTGTCTCGTTGGCCTACATCACGCTGACCGACATTCCCCGTGCAGCAGAGTGGTCGGCCTATTGGGGCCAAGTTGAGGAACTGGCTGAAGAGATTCCTGCCAAAGAAACCGTCGTCGTTTCGTCGCAGTTCCCTGAGCATGTGAGGCTGATGCTTCAGTACACGCTCGATCGAAAAGTGAAGCGAGTGCAATCGCCGATTAATGAGCTACCGGTCGGCACGACTTTGATTGAGAGCTTTCCGTGACACTCCACGGCTCATGCCAACTTCACGCCCTGCTCTTTCGCCACGCGGGTTAGATACTCATAAGCTTCAGTCGCAGCAGCGTGCGGCTCATTGATGTACGGGTAAAGCTCGACGGTAATCCAGCCAGAGTAACCGCTGGCGTCGATCTCTTTAAGCGTGGCGGCGAAGTCGATCGCGCCGTGACCGGGGATGAGATGCTTGTGCACCCGGGTGTCGGCAATATCCTCGAAGTGGTAGTGAACCGTGTGCTTCGCCATGGGGGCGACCCACTCCTCGGGGTCTTCACTCATGCAATAGGCATGGCCGATATCGAAGTTGAGCCCGATGGCCGCGGAGTCAATCCGCGCGATGAAATTCAGGTATTCATCGAAACGCTCGATCAGAAGGTCGGGTTCCGGCTCGATCAGCAGTTTCACACCCACTCGTTCGGCCACTTCGACGCAGGGCATGAACTCCTCGTAGAAGATATCGGCCGCATCGTCCCAACTCTGACCTTCAGCCAGCGGCCCGCCTGGCTCGGTGGTGATGTTGGGGGCTCCCAGGTAGGCGGCCAACTCGAGTGCCCGTTTTGTGTGCTCGCGGCGTATGGCCCGATAGTGCGGATCGGGCTCGATCCACGAGGGATGCCAGTACGGCTGACGAGGATCGGCTACGGCGTTCATCATGAACGCGTTGATGTTGGCGATTTCCAGCCCGTGACGATCGAGTGACGCCCGAATGGCCTCCTTCTGTTCGTCCAGGAGACCCGCCGGCCAGGCGTGGGGGACATCGGCCAGAAGCTCGATGCCCTGATAGCCCAATTCGGCAATCGTGCGAGCGGCCTCGTCGATGGAAAAATGCAGAAACGCGTTGGAGCTGAAGGCAAGTTTCAAGGTCGCAGGCCGGGGCTAGAGTCGGAGGGAGTGCCGTCCACATCAAGGGCCGGCGGAGGGAAGCAAGCCCTCAAGTATAGCTTGCCCCCGGGAGGCCCGAAACCGCGCGATATGGTCCGATTGTATCCCTCGAGTAACAGAAGATTGCTTTCCGGCCTGGAGAAATCTTCACCTCAACTGCTCGCGCTGCGGTAACTCAACAGCGAGCGGGTGAAGATCCAGCGGGAGATTAGCAGGCTTCCGACGGTGGCCACCAGAGCGAATGCAACGAGCGGCCAGCTTTGGGCCTCCAGTGGTTTCGCCATCATCGCTGCAGGCACGTTGATCACCACCAGAATCGGCACGAAATAAGTGAAGGCGAAACGTAACGGGGTGCCTAATCTACCCTGATAGATTTCCATGGGGTAGCGGGAGAAGGTCGTGATATAGAACCAGAAATCGTACAGCGTCTGGTTGCGGCCCATCCACACGCTCATGCTGGCCAGCGTGATCATCAGGCTGTAGAGGATCGCGATACCGCACAGCACATAAGCCGGGTAGAGCAAACACTGTATCAACGTCGGTTGCGTATCGAGCTGGGCGAGTGAAAACAGCAGCAGCCCGATGCCGAAGGCGAAGTTGGCCAGCGAAGCCCATTCGATCTTCCGTAGCGATACGAGGAACTGGGTATCGATTGGCTTCAGCAACGCAAAGTCGAGCCCGCCCATGCGGATCAACTCGCCGAACTCGTTGGCGTTGGGCATGAAGAACGCCTGCACCGTGCTGTTCACCAGCAAGGTCGTCGCCAGGAACACGAAGAACTCGTACTTTCCCCAGCCAGAGTCAGCCCCAATCATCGGGGTGTACTGGAAGATCAGCAGGTAGAAACCCAGGTTCATCATCACCCAGCCCACCGACGAGATGCTTTGGATGACGAAGTTCGTGCGGAAGGTCATATCCCGCACGAGGCTATTCCGGGCGAACATGTAGAACACCCGCAGGTACGACGGTCGGGCGTGGCTCTTCGAGTCGGTTGTCATCGAGCTAACCCCCGAACCCGCTGTAACGCCGCACACCGCGGTTGAACATGAACCGGCAGAACAGAATGAAGAACACCAGCCAGGCGAACTGAACACCCAGCCGGAACGGAATCTCCTCCCGAGGCACCTCTCCCAGAAAGATCGCCGCCGGATAGTAAGCCAAATAGGGCAACGGCAGCAGTTCGATCACCTGTCGACCGTAATCTGGCAGGATATCGATCGGGAACATGTGCCCCGAGAAGAAGAAGTTAAACAGCATATACACAAACAGCAGCGAGCTGACTTCGAGGAACCAGAATCCAATCATGCCAATGGCGGCTTCGAGGAAGAATCCCAGCAAGAAGCTCATGATGAGCGTGGCCACGAAAGCCATCATCACGGCAGGGTCGGGCCAGCCATCGACGAAATACTGCCGGCACAGCCAAAACACCAGGGCGAACGGCCCGATCGCCACACTGTAGTAAACCAACTTATGGGCCATGCGATTCAGCAGTAAGAACCCCACCATATCGACCGGCTGGGTCAGATACTTCTTGATCGTGCCCTCCCGAATGTCCAGCGCGATGCCCGACGCCAATCCCGGCATGCTGGAAAATGCCCGCGCGACCATGGTCAGCAGGTAGTAGGCGATCATCTCCGGGAACGTGTATCGGCCCGCCACGGCTGTATTACCATTGGCGGCGAAGATCGCGCCCCACAGAAAGATCTGCGTGACGATCGGCAGGAATCGCATCAGCGTGCCTAGCGCGAAGTCGCCCCGGTAGACCAGCCGTTCTTCGAGGCAGATCCGCAGAATCGTCCACCAGGTTGTTACCCGCGCGATCATGATGGGTAGGGCACCGTTCTAGTAACTTTCTTGATTCGCGAATCAGCGAGAGCGAGCCGCCACGGTCGAGGGATCCTCGGTTGCCGTGCTATTGGCGGCGTTGCGGATTTTCGCTTTGTTGAAGACGTCGGCAATTACTTCTTCCAGCGGAGGGTCTTCTACGCTCACATCCTCCAAGGCGTAGGTGCCCAGAATCGAAGACATCACCTCTGCCACTTTCGAGCGGTGTACTCGAATTCGAACCCTGGGTGGCTGCACATCCAGTACATCGCCGAAGCGGGCCAGGTCGCCGGGCACATTGTCGTCGACGAACAGCAGCGTGATGATTTTCTCGCCGCCGAAGCGATCCACGATCCCCGCCAGCGATCCGTCGTACATCACGGTCCCATCGGTGATGATCACCACCCGTTTGCACAATGCGGCCACGTCCTTCATGTAGTGGCTGGTGAGCAGGATGGTGATGCGTCGCTTTTCCTGATAGTGCCGGAGGAAGCTTTGGATATTGTGTTGGGCCACTACATCGAGCCCAATGGTCGGCTCGTCGAGAAAAAGCACCTCGGGCGAGTGCAGTAGGGCCGCGATCAGCTCCATCTTCATGCGTTCGCCCAGCGAAAGCTCACGCACGGGTCGGCCGAGCAACTCAGTCACGTCGAGCAAGTCGACCAACTCGGCCAGGGTGCGATCGAACTCGCTCGGCTCGATGGCGTAAATCTGCTGGTGCAGACGGAAGGACTCTTGCGCGGGTAGGTCCCACCAAAGTTGATTCTTCTGGCCCATCACCAGGGCGAACCGCCGCCGGTAGGCGTTTTCGCGTTTCCAGGGAGTGAACCCCAGTACGCTAGCAGAGCCCGAGGTGGGGGTGATCACGCCGGAAAGCAGCTTCAGCGTGGTGGTCTTTCCCGCCCCATTTGGCCCCAAAAAGGCGACGAATTCACCTTCCTCAACCGTTAAATCGATCGAGCGGACCGCATGCACATCGCGGTGCTCGCGGCGGAACAGCCCCTGCACAGAATGCCACAGCCCCTCGGGCTTTTGATAGACGCGATAGCTCTTGGTGAGCCCTTGGATTTCGATGATCGACATGGTTGCTGGATTATAAGAACCGACCCTCACTTGGAGAAGCGGCCCCACATCTGGCGGCCTGCTCTCGTGAATTGATTGAGTTCGTGGGAATCAAGACGGCGAGAAACCGTGTCTGGGCAACACGTTAACCGCGGTTGAGGTCGCGTTGTCCGATTTTGCAACATGATCTAAAATCAGCCGGCACGAATGGATAATCTAGCACGACCTTGACGACGGCCGCTGGCCGCGAGGAGTCTCGATCACGGCGGACTTACGCGTAGGTATTGGGCACGACACTCACCGCCTCGAAGCAGGCCGGCCGCTGATTATCGGCGGGGTGAGCATTCCGCACGAGCGGGGAGCAGTCGGGCATAGCGACGCCGATGTGCTACTGCACGCGGTGATCGACGCCCTGCTGGGGGCGGCAGCGCTGGGCGATATCGGCGAAATGTACCCCGATACCGATGAGGCCAATCGTGGATTGGACTCGGCCGAAATGCTCAAGGCTGCCTACCAACGCGTGAGACAGGCCGGGTACCAGGTTGTGAACCTCGATTGCATCGTGTTCGCTCAAAAACCGAAACTATCACCGTACAAAACTGCAATTAGCCGCCGCATTGCCGAGTTGTTGGAAATCGACTCGGACCGCGTGGGGGCAAAGGCCAAAACCGGGGAGCTGGTTGGCCCCATCGGCCGGGAAGAAGCGATCTCGGCCGAATGCATCGTTCTCTTGTCGAAATAATTCACGGAAGATTAACAAGATGTCTACAACAACAATGACGACGAAGGACACGGTCGCCATGACCAATAAACCGGCGAGCATCCAGATCTACAACACGTTGAGCAAATCGAAGGAGTCACTGGTTCCTTTGCAGCCCGGCAAGGTTGGCATGTATCTGTGCGGCCCCACGGTCTACAAGCCTAGCCACATCGGCCACATGGTCGGGCCGGTGATCTTCGATGCCGTGAAACGCTACCTGGTCTACAGCGGGTACGAAGTCACGTTCGTCATCAACGTGACCGATGTCGACGACAAGCTCATCGCCGAATCGACCAAGCGTGGTATGACCATGCCCGAGTTGGCCAAGGAGATGACCGCCGACTACATGCGAAACCTGGAAAGCATGGGCGTCGACAGCGTCGATCACTTCCCCAAGGCCACCGACAACATCGACGAGATCATCAAGTTCACGCAAGAACTCATCGACAAAGGTTTCGCCTACGCGGCCGATGGCGATGTGTACTTCGAAGTCGGGCAAGATTCTGAATACGGAAAGCTCAGCCATCGCTCGCTGGAAAGCCTGCAAGGGGCCGGCGGCGAGATGGCCGATCGCAAACGGGCGGCCGCTGACTTTGCCCTGTGGAAAGGGGCGAAGAAAGGCGAACCTTCCTGGGAAAGCCCTTGGGGTGCCGGGCGCCCCGGCTGGCATATCGAATGCTCGGCGATGAGCCGCAAACTGCTGGGGCCCTCGTTCGACATTCACGGCGGCGGGCTCGACCTGGTGTTCCCGCACCACGAAAACGAAATCGCTCAAAGCGAATGCTGCCACGGAAAGCCCCAGGCCAAGTACTGGATGCACAACGGGCTCATGCAGGCCGCCGATGAAGTCGGCAAAGTCGGCGGACGCAATACTCGGACTGCCGACGAAACCGATGCCGAAGCTCAGGCCGCCACCAAAATCAGCAAGTCGACTGGTGCCGGAGCGTTCAGCGATTTGCTGAAAGAGCACCAGCCGGAAACGATTCGCATGCTACTGCTGTCGACGCACTACCGGCGACCGATCTACTTTAGCGAGCAGCAGCTCAAGAACATCGCCACGAGTCTCGACACGTTCTACCGATTCTTCGATCGCTTCCAACGGATCACCGGCGACAGTTTCTACGAGCTCCCCTGCCCTCAAACGAGGGCCGAAGGCGACAAGCAGATTGCAGCGTTGGCCGAGATCAGCGACGAAAGCGATACTCGCCACCAAATCTATGCCGCCCGGCGGCGTTTCCTGGCGGCCATGGACGACGACTTCAACAGCGGCGCGGCGGTTGGCGACCTGTTCGAACTGGTGCGTTTACTGAATAAGTTCGTCGATGCCCAATCACTCGAAGGTGACGGTAGCGACGAACAGTCGCTGGCTACGTTTAAGACCGGAGCAACCGTGCTCCGCGAACTGGGGGCCACTCTGGGGCTGTTTCGCCAGGCTGTCGGGGCTGAGAAGACCGACGACAAGCTGGTCGCCCCGCTGCTGGAGTTGTTAATTCAGGTGCGAAAAGATTCTCGTGATAGCAAGAACTTCGCCTTGGCCGACAAGATCCGCGATGCCCTGGCCCAAATGAACATCACCCTCGAAGATCGCCCCAACGGAACCATCTGGCGACTGGAGCAGTAGGGACTTACCACGGACGACATGGCGATGCTCACGAGTCGATTCATACTTTCTGACTTTGGCTGTGGGTGCCACGGTTGGCTTGCCCAACCGTGCGAATTGTCGTCCCGTTCGTATTCCTCAACTCTCGTCTCACTTGGCAGACTCGATCAATCCATTCCGATTCATTCGCGACGAAACCGCCACTCATGAGTGCCACCCCGGCAATACGCCGTGTATTGGGGATCGACCCCGGTCTGAACATCACCGGGTACGGCGTCGTCGAGGCCTCGTCTTCGGCCCCTGTGTTATGCGAAGCGGGAGTGATTCGAGGTCGCACGCGCAACTCGCTCACGGCCCGAGTTGCCGAGATCCACGAGGGTGTCTGTGACGCGATCGCCTCGCTGAAGCCGACCGAGATGGCGCTGGAACAACTCTACGGACACTACGAACGTCCACGGACCGCCATCCTCATGGGCCACGCCCGTGGGGTGATCTGCCTTGCCGCCGCGCAGGCCGGCATTCCGGTCATCCACTACAGCGCCACGCAAGTGAAAAAAGTAATCACCGGCAACGGACGAGCCCCCAAGCACCAGATTCAGTTGGCCATTCAAACCGAGTTCGGCCTCGAAACCCCGCCCGATCCGCCGGACGTGGCCGACGCCCTGGCCATCGCACTGTGTCACTACTACCTGCAGATCAGGCACCCCGGCGGTTCGAAGCAGGTGCAGGCGTAACGTTGGCAGTCCTCAGAAAATTTTCATCGCGAGACATTCACCTCTGTGATCACAAAAATCAAAGGCCAACTCGTGCACCTCGGCGACGACTTCCTCACCCTTGGCGTGGGGCCCTTGGAGTACGAAGTCCTCATTCCTGAGTTCACTCGCCGTCAGTTGCAAAGCCTGCGGGGCGAAGAGATCAGTCTCTTCACAATCGAATACCTCGAAGGCAACCCAATGCAGGGGCGGCTGACTCCCCGCTTGGTTGGCTTCCTCAGCACGATCGAACGCGAGTTCTTCGAACTGTTTTGTTCAGTCGACGGGGTCGGCGTAAAGAAGGCCCTCAGGGCGATGGTCCGTCCTGTGGCCGAAGTGGCCGGAGCGATTGAAGAGCAGGACACGAAGCTGCTTTCCACCCTCCCCGGTATCGGGCCGGCAGTATCGGAACGTATCGTGGCCAAGCTGCGGCGGAAGGTACCCAAGTTCGCCCTGCTGGTCGAACGCGAAACCTCCCACGAAGCCGAGGTCGAACAGGACGTGGTGAGCGAAACGTTCGAAGTGCTTCGCTCACTGGGGCATTCCGAAGCCGATGCCCGACGACTGCTCGACGCCGCCCTGAGTGGCAAGAAAAAGTACAAGGACGTCGAAGCCCTGCTGCATGCCGTCTATCAGCAAAGCAGCAATGCGTAGCTCGTTGGGTCACGCTTTAACACCTACGCCTCGATGTCGAACCACACGTGAATGCCCACCGTGTAGCCTGCGGCGACCAAGGGCAGTGTCGAGCGAACTTTGTAGGTGGGGTTCTCCATAAGCCAGTCGCTGAGAGCCTGACTGAGGATGAACGGCAACTTGTCGAGATCGTGCTCGACGGACGATGCCCGTAGAAAGACCCAATTGTCGGTCATCTCGAACGCGTTGATCGTTACGTTCTGATCGCCATCTTCACTGGCCATGCCTAGGTCTCTCACTTCTCGGGGAACAGATCGAAGTCCATCAGCATAGTGCGCCCGCGCTCTGTAGGGAACGCCCTCCGTGGCGTTCCGAGCGTGACGGCAATTCCCGGAACGCAACAGAGGGCATTCCCTACAGCGGCTCGCGAAAACCGGAAACCTGGACCCCCTGAGAATTCACCACACACCGCACCGCCCCATCACGGGCCGTATGCAGAATCTCGGCACCATGTTCCGCATACACCCGCCCTGCCCCGGCGAAATCAGAACCGCGCCCCCCACTGATCACAACATATTCAGGCTGACTCCAGCGAGCGAACTGCGGTGGATCGCTTCTGGCCGATCCGTGGTGAGGGGCCAGCAAAATATCACAGTCCCACGGTTCTTCTGCCGTGACATCTTCCATCCCAGGCGTTTCCAAGTCGCCGGTCAGCAAGATCCTTCGCCCTTCGTATTCAATCGCCAACACAACACTGTTCGCGTTGTCACTCCCCAGAACTCCCCACGGGGATGGATGTAGGACTTCGATGGAAGTCCCATCATCAGTAGCCAGTCGCTCGCCTCGGGCAATTTCCATCACCCGCACGTCGGCTTCAGCCAGAGCTGCGGACAAAGCCTCGAGTGCGCCGGCCTGCTCCGAGAACATCACGTGCGAGACGTAGACCACGCCGACGGAGAACCGCTCAAGTAGTTCCGGCAAGGCGTTGTAATGATCCACGTCGGCATGCGAAATCACCACGGCATCGAGATGGGTGATCCCCTCGGCCCATAGCGAACTGGCGATCGTGCGTGCCCCGCTGGCCGGTGAACCAAGCTGGCCGCAGTCGTAGAGCAGCGTTTGCCCGCCAGGGAACTGAACCAACACGGCACAACCGTGCCCCACCGAGGTGAACGTGCATCGCAACTCAGGCGAATGACGCCCGGTCCATTGTGGTATCGCTGCGCTCAACGGTCGGCTTCCCAACCCCACGGCAATCCACAAGGCCAAAACGGCGACAGCCCAGCGTCGTGGTGGCCTCCAGCGCGGCACGATCAGCCAAGTGCCCAGCAGCCCGTAGAACCCGAGAAGCCACCAATCGGCCGGCCCGGTCACCCACAAATGTCCCGCGGGGATCTTCGCCGCCCAGGCCACCGTCGTTTCCAGCAGCCACAGACTGGCATCGCAAACCGCCGCCGGAACCACGGCCAACGGGGCCCACAGCCACCCGCCCAGTAGCACTCCAAAACCCGAGATCAACGCCGAAGCGACTGGAAACCAGAGGGCGGTGCTCAACAGCGGGGCCGTTAATGCCACCACATGAAACCGCGAGGCGACCAGCGGAAGTGCGATCAACCACACGCAGAAGCTAAGCAGCGTTAAGTCCCAGCCCCAGCGGGCGATTCCCCGCGCGGCCCGATCGGGCCAGCTGCGTGACTGATCGATCAGCCGTTTCAACGGATCGGGCGATGGTCGCTCGCGGAGCCTACTGAAGAACCACATCAACGTGGCCGCCGCGATGAACGAAAGTTGAGGGCCAGTCCGAAACAAGTCGGCCGGGTTGAGCCACAGCACCACCATCGCAGCCACAGCCAGTGCGCCCAGCGAAAAGCTCCGTCGCCAGAAGAACGCCGTGAGGCAAGAAACGCAAACCAGCACCGTCGCTCGTATCACCGGAGGTTGCGCGTCGGCCAGCAACGCATATCCCACGGTGAGCACCACCACGCACAGGAGCCCTGCCCTGCGAGGAAACCAGCCCAGCCGCACGACCAAGAGAATCACACTGACAACAATGCCCACATGCAGTCCCGAGATGGCCAGCAGGTGCATCGCTCCCGTTTCCATGAACGGGTCGGTCCGCTCGGCCACCACCTGTTCCCGCATGCCCAGCATCAGGGCTGCGGCCAGGCCCGACCGCTCGTGATTCAGCGATCGCCACAGCACCCGATCGGTTCTTCCCCGCACGTGATCAATCCAATTTCGCGGTTGCCACACGCTGCCCGCCTGAAGCACCGAGACGCAATCGGGATAGTTCGCCGAAAGTTGGCTCAGCACGCGTTCGGCTCGCAAGTGATGGGCGAAGTCGAACTGCCCCGGGTTCAGCGCCGGCATGGGGGCCGAGAATTGGGCGAAGATCAACAGCCGATCGCCCGCCTGAACGCCCAGTAGATGACCGTCGACGTACAACTCGCTCCGCCCGGAGGCCGGTTTCCAGTCGCGTCCGTCGCGCACACGAACCACATCAATCGCTAGCCGTGAACTCTCGCCGCGCGGAATTGCCCTTAGCGGATCATGCGGCGGGGCGGGTACACGTCGTGGCTGTTCCAGGGCGATGGCCTCAAGGCAAATTGGGCCCGCAACCTCGCGGGCAGCAAGCCCCAACTCGCCCGTGGAGAACAGCCTCCAATGCACATGATGTGCCGCCGCCCCAAGCGAAAGCACGGTGGCAAGCAGTGCGAGGCCGGCCAGCGGGAATCGCTCTCTTCGCCACAGCACCCACCAAGCACCCCCGGTCAGAGCGGCGAGCGGAAAGATCAGCATCAACGGAATGGCCAGGTACCGATCGACCACAATTCCTGAGGCAAACGCCAAGACTACCCAAACCATCGGTTGGCGCGTGCCGTAGTGTAGGGAGTTTTCGCTAGCACCGGCCGAGGGCCTTTCCTCTGGCGATGGTGCCGTCGAATTGTCGGAACCCTGGTGCGACACGAGTTTGCCCGAACTTCGAGAAGACCGTTCCCTGAGTGGAGAAAACCTGAATTGTGGACCTCCATGATAGCGAATTCCGCAGGGTGAAGTCCGACTCAATTCGGCCGGATGAAGTCGTTATCTGGTCAGCCCAGGGTAGCTCCGCTATGTTGTGCGCAACACGAACTGCTCCAGGTCTGCCGGGAACCGAGCGGCCTGAGTAATCAAGGAAACAAGACCTCGACACGGAGGAGAGTGAACATGCTGCGTTTTGGAATGGCTACAGCCCCCCACCGCGTTTGGCTGGCGATGTTGGTCGCCGGGCCCCTGGTGCTGGGCGGCTTCAACTCCACGGCATCCTTTGGCCAAGACGATCTGCCAAAACCCAAACCGAAGGCCGCCGGTCCCGGGGCCGACAAGCCGGGGCAGGTCGAGTTGATTCCCCGTACCATCTTGTTCGGCAACCCCGACAAAGCGGCTGCTCGAATCAGCCCCGATGGCACCCGCATCGCCTATCTGGCCCCCGTCGACGGAGTGCTCAACGTTTGGGTTGGCCCCATCGACGACCCTTCGGCTGCCAAGCCGGTTACCGAAGACAAGAAGCGTGGAATCCGCTCTTACTTTTGGGCGTTCACCAACGATCACATCATCTACCTGCAAGATGTGGGCGGTGATGAAGACTGGCATGTCTATTCCACAAACCTCAAGACCAATAAGACGATCGACCTGACTCCTTTGGAGGGCGTAGCGGCCCAGATTCAAGAGGTGAGTCATCACTTCCCGACTGAGATTCTGGTTGGGCTCAACGATCGCAACCCACAACTGCACGACATCTATCGGGTGAACATCGAAACCGGTAAACGTGAGATGGTGCAAGAGAACCCCGGCTTCATGGGTTTCTTGACGGACGACGATTACAAGGTCCGCATTGCGACCCGATTCAGCCCCGACGGTAGCACCGAACAACTCGTGCCAGACGGCAAAGGTGGCTGGAAGCTATTCACCAAGATTCCCCAAGAGGATTCGCTCACCACCAGCCCCGTTGGCTTCGACAAGACGGGGCGCATTCTCTACTGGCTAGATAGCCGCGGTCGCGATACGGCTGCGCTGAAAAGTCAGAATCTCGATACCGATGAGATGAAGACCATCGCCTCCAACGATAAGGCCGATGTCGGGGGCGTGCTCGCGCATCCTATCGAGAAGACTATCGAAGCCGTCTCTTTCACTTATGAACGTCTCGAGTGGGACATTCTCGATCAGCAAATTGCCGACGACTTTGAATACCTCAAGACCGTGGCCGACGGCGAAATGCAGGTCACCAGCCGTTCGCTCGACGACAAGCATTGGGTGGTTGCCTACATCATGGACAACGGTCCGGTGCGTTATTACTACTACGATCGCGAGGCCGGCAAGGCGAGTTTCCTCTTCACTAATCGGGAGGACTTGGAAGGCCTGCCGCTGGCCAAGATGCACCCCTTGGTCATCAAAGCCCGCGACGATCTGAACCTGGTTTGCTACCTCACGCTGCCGGTTGGATCGGATAAAGACGGCGACGCCCGGCCCGATGAGCCGCTACCCATGGTGATGCTCGTGCACGGTGGCCCTTGGTCGCGAGATACGTGGGGTTTCAGCTCGAACGACCAACTGTTGGCCAACCGTGGCTATGCCGTGCTCTCGGTGAACTTCCGCGGCTCAACTGGCTTTGGAAAAGGCTTCCTCAACGCCGGCAACAAAGAATGGGCCGGCAAAATGCACGACGACCTGCTCGATGCCCTGAAGTGGGCCGTCGACAACAAAGTCGCTCAGGAAGACAAAGTCGCCATCATGGGTGGATCCTACGGTGGTTACGCAACCCTCGTCGGGCTCACCTTCACACCCAAAGAGTTTGCATGCGGGGTTGATATCGTGGGGCCTTCGAATATCCTCACCTTGCTCTCGACCATTCCGGCGTATTGGCAACCGGCCATTCAAATGTTCAAAGATCGCGTAGGCGACTTCAGCACCGAAGAAGGCAAGGAGTTCCTCGAAAGCCGCTCGCCGCTGGCCCATGTCGATCGAATCGAACGTCCCTTGCTCATCGGCCAGGGTGCCAACGACCCCCGGGTGAAGCAGTCGGAGGCCGATCAGATTGTTGACGCAATGCAAAAGCACAAGATTCCGGTCACCTACGTGCTATTCCCCGACGAAGGTCACGGCTTCGCGCGGCCCGAGAACAACTTGTCGTTCTTCGCCGTCACAGAAGCCTTCCTGGCCGAACACTTGGGAGGACGATACGAACCCATCGGCGACGACTTCGCCGGTTCCAGCATCACCGTGCCCACGGGCGCGGCCGATGTGCCAGGCCTGGAGGAAGCCGTCGAGAAGCACAGTAAAGAAGCGGCGGAAGAGTAACAGTTTACCGCCGCCAGAATTTTTACCGGAGGCGGTGAGGGACTTGGGTCAAACATTGATCTGAGGCTCTCACCGCCTTCGGGCATTTTGGGGCCGCCCTGTAGCGGCTTGACCCACTGCGGGCATCGTCTGATATTGGGCCGCATGCTAACGCTAGATGCGGACAACGCCGGCAAGTACCTACGCACTTCGGGGCGAGTGGCGGAAGATGTCCTTCTGGAAATAACGCGACTGACCGGCGGCGTCTCGAATGAAGTGCTCTATGTGGCCTTCCCCGAACATCAGCAACCGGACTTTGTGTTGAAGCAGGCTCGCGACCGATTGCGAGTGCCCAAGCCCTGGCACTGCAGCGTGACCCGCATCTGGCGGGAGGTTGAAGTCTTGCGGATTTGCGATTCGCTGCTTCAGAATCCAGAAAATGAAGCGATCGGTGAAAGCGAGCAAGCCATTTCACTGCAAACGCCGCAGGTGCTCTTCGAAGACCGAGAGAATTACTGCTTTGCAATGACGGCCGCCCCCCGCGAACATGTCGTGTGGAAGCTAGAACTGCTGCAGGGAAAAGCTGATCCGGCCATCGCCGCTGCCTGTGGTCGCATGCTGGGGCAGTTGCATGGCGGCAGTTGGAATAATTCGGAAGTTGCCGCTCAACTGGCCGATCGCCAGATCTTCGACGAACTGCGGCTCGACCCCTATTTCCGCTTCACGGCCTCACAATGTCCGCAGGCAGCCGAGCACTTTGAGCGGCTGATTGCCGACACCTGGAAACATCGCCTGGCGTTGGTGCACGCCGACTTCAGCCCCAAGAATCTGCTCGTGTATCAGGGCGGGCTGTTGATGGTCGACTTCGAAACCGGCCACTTCGGCGATCCGGCATTCGATCTCGGCTTCTTTCTCTCGCACCTCACGCTCAAGGCCTTCAATGCCGCGCCCGATTACGAACCGCTTCTGCGACTCATTGAAGCCTTTTGGGATGCCTACGCTTCGGCAATGTCAGATGCGGTCGAACCTGCCGACTATAACCCACTAGTGGCTCGCGGCATGCAGTGCCTGGCCGGCTGCGCTTGGGCACGACTCGACGGGAAGAGTGGCATCGACTACCTCGAAGATTCAGGACGGCGACAGCATGTTCGTCAACTATGCCAGCGGTTGTTCGAAGAACGCCCTGGGGACTGGTCAGAAGCAGATGCCATGCTTCGCGATTCGTTAGAGAAAATCTAGAGCCGTTACTCATTGAATAGGAATTCGCAGGCAGTGAATCGGATTGAACGAGTTTATGCCCGCGAGGTGCTGGATAGTCGCGGTCGCCCCACGGTGGAGGTCGAGATCGACTGTGGGGCATCGCAAATCGCCCGGGCGATCGTTCCCTCGGGAGCGAGTACCGGGAAGTTCGAGGCAGTCGAAAAGCGTGATGGCGATCCCGCACGCTACGACGGCGACGGGGTACAGCAGGCCGTTGAAGCGGTGCATCGAGTGATTGCCCCGGAAATCACTGGCCTCGATCCCCGAGATCAATTCGCGATCGACGACCTGCTCCTGAGGTTGGACGGTACGGCGAACAAGTCGAAGCTGGGGGCTAACGCGACCTTGGCCGTCTCACTCGCCGTGGCTCATGCGGCTGCGTTGGTCGAACGAGTTTTGCTATTCAAACACCTGCACGGTCTTTATGGGAACGTAGGCCAGCGAGATTCTACAAAGCATCTCACCGCTCCACCCATCTCACCCCCGACCATGCCAGTCCCCATGATCAACATGATCTCCGGCGGACTGCACGCGGGAGGGAACCTCGACTTTCAGGACGTGCTGATCGTCCCCGTCGGGGCTTCGGATATCACCATTGCACTCGAATGGACCGTTCGGGTGTATCGACGATTGGGTGAGTTGCTCACGGCGGCCGGTTACGAGGGGCGCCTGGTTGGCGACGAAGGCGGTTACGGCCCCCGGCTAGAGAGCAACAGGCAGGCGATCGAGTTCGTTGTCCGCGCCATTGAAGCGGCCGGCCTGCGGCCCGGCGAAGACGTTTGCCTGTCGCTCGATGTGGCCGCCACGCACTTCTTCGACGGGGCGTATTACATTCTCTCCGCCACCGAGGAGACCAAGCTGACCTCGATCGAGATGACCGACCGGCTTGTCGCCCTGGTCGATGAGTTTCCCATCGCCTGGATCGAAGATGGGCTGGCCGAAGACGACTGGGCCGGCTGGCGAGAACTAACCTCCCGCTTGGGCGATCGTGTGAAATTGATCGGCGACGACCTCTTCGTCACGAACAACCAGTGGTTGCAACGCGGCGTTGACGAACAAGTGGGCAACGCCGTCTTGATCAAGGTCAACCAAATCGGCACACTGACCGAGGCCCTCGAGGCCACCTATCGAGCGTCGGCCGCCGGCTACGCCCGGGTGGTTTCGGCCCGCAGCGGTGAGACGGAAGACACGACGATCGCCGATCTGGCCGTCGCAGTGGCGGCCGACTCGATCAAGATCGGTTCGATCGTTCGTGGGGAACGGCTCTCGAAATACAATCAACTGCTTCGCATCAGCGAAGTGCTAACCAAAGGATGAGGCGATGCACAAGTACTTCGTGAACAAAGACGACTGTTCACATCACAACATCTTTCCCGGCGTCGATATCTTCACCACGTTCGGTGATGGTCTGATGCTCTCGCTGGTCGAGATGGAGCCGCATGCTGTGGTTGAAGAGCATAGCCACCCGCATGAGCAGATGGGGCTCATGCTCGAAGGCGAAGCCCTCTTCATCATCGGTGGCGAAGAGCAGACGATCTCAATCGGCGGCATGTGGCGCATTCCTGGCGGTGTGGCACATAAGGTGATCGCCGGCGACAAACCCGTTCGCGCGCTCGATGTCTTCAACCCCATTCGAGAAGACTACAAGTAGCCAGTCGCTCCACGCCCCGGGATCCATTGCTGGATCCCGGAGCGAAGCTACAGCGTCTTACAGTTCTCGGTCCACCGCATCGGCCACGCGGCGGCACATTTCCATCGTCTTGGCGAACTGATCGAAGTTCAGCGACTGGTAGCCGTCGCTCAGCGCCCGCGAGGGATCTGGGTGAACTTCCATAATCAGCCCGTCGGCACCCGCGGCGATACTGGCCGAAGCCATCCGCGGCACCAAGTCGGTGTGGCCTGTGCCGTGGCTGGGGTCAACAACCACCGGAAGATGCGTCCGGGCCTGCAACCACGCAACCGAGGCCAGCGGGAGTGTGAAGCGGGTGTGGGCCTCGAACGTACGAATGCCCCGTTCGCAGAGCATCACATTGGGGTTGCCCGCATCGAGAATGTACTCGGCGGCCAGCAACAATTCGTCGAGTGTGGCACTGGGACCCCGCTTCAACAGCACCGGGCGTACCTGGTTACCCACGGCTTCCAGCAATCGGTAGTTCTGCATATTGCGGGCACCAATTTGCAGAATGTCTGCGTATTTTCCGACAAGTTCCACGTCGTCGGTGGCGACTACTTCGGTCACAATGGCCAGCCCGGTTGCCTCGCGGGCCGAGGCCAAAAGTTTCAGCCCTTCTTCTTTAAGGCCTTGGAAGCTGTAGGGGCTGGTTCTTGGCTTGAACGCTCCACCGCGCAGGGCCGTTGCACCCTGTTTTTTTACCGCTTGGGCCGAGGCCAGAATCTGCTCCTGGCATTCAACCGAGCAGGGGCCCGCGATCACCCCGATTCGACCTCCGCCTACTTCGAAATTCCCGGCCCGAATCACGGTTCGCTCGGGCTGAACTTCGATGCTGGCCATCTTGTATGGGGCCAGAATTGGCAGCACTTCTGCGACGCCCGGGCAGGCCTCGAGCGTTTCTTTGTATCCGTCTCGTTCATCCCCCACCGCGGCGATCACTGTTCTCTCGGTCCCCACGATCACATTGGCCTTCAGGCCCAGCCCTTCGACCCTTCCGATGGTCTCATCGAGGTCGGTCTCCGTATGGTTTCTTTGCATGACGAGAATCACCTTGTCGTTCTCCTGGTACTGTGGAAATGAGCGGTAAACAAAGGGTTCGGCCGGCGATGCGCACAAAAAAAGCCCCGAGAGCCGAATCGCCGGATCTCGGGGCTTGGCCGTTTAGAGAGTGTTTTGTGCCTCTTTAGACACCACCTCCGGCCCCGCGATCCGGCGGGGTAAAGGTAAACCAATATCCGAAGAAGGTGTGGTTGCTCATGATCCCAGCATTTTGATCGGAGATTGCGGTCGTTGCAAGTCCTGGGTGTGAAAATCTGAAAAGTGAGTCTGAATCTGTGGATAGCTAGCAGTTTCTGCGAGGCATTCAACGCAACAAGGCGACGTGCAACGCTTGATGATTCGTTGCACGCCGCCTTGTAGTTCGCAATCAGTCGCAGAAGGAATACGGAATCGAGGTCTAGTATCGCAGGATAAAGTCGGCGTACAGACGGTCGTGCAGCAGGTCGCGACGGTGGGTCAGCGGGAATTCCCAGCCCACGCCCAAGATGGCGTGGTCGGTGAACTTGTACCGTCCGCCTACGGCTGCCGTGACGATGTCGTTTCCGGCCACGCTGCCCGAACCCAGGTTGAACAGGTCGCCGCCCTCGAAGTTCACACCCGGCAGGGCATCGCCACTACGCATCCAATGGAACCAGTTCACTTCGAACAAGGCGAACAGGTCTTCGAACACTTCATAGTCCCAGTGATTCGACCAGTACCACATCTGGCTTCTGGCATTGGTATCAGTCGGCAACCGGAAGCCTGAGGCGCTGATCCAGTTCACCCCACCGAAGACTCGCTTGTAACCGGTGAGGAACAGGTGGAACTCGCCATCGCCATTGCCCTGGAATACCTGGTGGGCTCCCATATCGATTTCGTAGACCACGCCACCGCTGAGCAGAAACTGGGTCGAAGGGTCACGAATCAGGTTGTACTTCAACCCCAATGCAACGTCGGCCCAACCTTGCGTGTCGGGTAACGCAGGGTTGTTGGCGTGAATGTCGATGTAGCCGTCTTTCGTGGCAATGATCGACAGTCGCTCGGTCAGAGCAGCCCGAAGTTGCAGGGCCCAGTACTGAACGTTCCCACCTTGGAGCAGCGGTTGCGAATTCGGAATGTTGTGATTGGCATAGATCAACCGCGCCTCGGTCAAGGTGCGGGGATCTTCAAAAAACAACGGGTTCGAAATGGGGCTGATCATGTCGAAGCATCGCTCCGAGGGCTTGATCAAACCGCCAAATAGCCCGCAACCATCGCAGCAGGAATTGCATCCGCCGCAGCATGGATCACAGCAGTCGCCACAGCAAGGGTCGCAGCAGACATCCGCACAACCGCTGGTGCAAGAATCGCAACATCCGGCGGTATAGCTCACCGGAGAGATATTGCCTTGCTCGTCGGTGAAGACCGCTTCGTTTCCGATGACGGGCTCGACGTAGCTGTCCGAACTTTGGTAAGCCGCCGGCTGAACCAACGCCGCGGGAGCCTTCAAGGCTTGAGAATGAAACTCAGGTTTCAAAGAGTGTTGAGCACTGGCTGGCATTGTTCCAGCCCAGATACAGAGCCCAACGACGAACGGTAAGAAACGATTTACTTTCATCGAGCCAACCCTCCCGTGGCATTCTGATTTTGCGATCCTTCAAGGCCTCGCGATGATGTGCCCGCCAACCAGGCCAGGAATTCGCGAAGAATACCTCTATGAGGGGTTGGTTCGACTAACGCACGGTGAGAACTTGACCGCACACTTTTCCCGGCTTTCCTCTTTCTTTGTTCGGAACAATCGTCAGAAATCAACTGTGGGGGTACACAAGTCTCGCTATCGCTAGAACCGACTAGCTGCGCATAGTAGAGCTTCGCTACAAAGACTGATCGTCAAAGTTGACTGGCGGGAGCGTGCCAATGGGCGCATCGAGGTGGGCGGTTTTTCGTCACCTCCTCGTTCGGTCGCTCCCCAAGACCTTTAAGCGTATGCGGAGCGCGAAGACGCACCTTGCTGCAGAGAATCCGATTCGTTTTGCACCAGGTCCCGCAAAATAGAGATCGCATCTTGTATGTCTTCAGAGGTGACATCAAGATGCGTTACCAACCGCAAATCTTGAGGTCCCAAGTCGATCGTTAGCACGCCACGCTCAGCCAGTTGGGCCACCAGTGTGGCTGCCGTACTGAGTTTGGGGTCGACGCGGACATAGACGATGTTCGTGTCGATCTTTCCAGGCAGGCTCAGGCCTTCGATTTCTTCCACCGCCTTAGCAAGCTGTTGTGCATGGGCATGATCTTCCGCCATTCGCTCGACATGATGCTCCAGAGCATACAGCGCGCCAGCCGCGATCACGCCGGCCTGTCGCATTCCACCGCCTAACATCTTGCGGATTCGATGGGCAAGACGAATGAACTCCTCCGAGCCGGCCAGTGCCGAACCCACCGGAGCCCCCAACCCTTTGCTGAAGCACACGCTCACCGTGTCGAAGGGTGCGGCCAATTCACTGGCCGGAGTATTCGAACCCACCGCCGCATTGAACAGACGAGCCCCATCCAGATGGCTGGCCAAGTCGTTGTCCCGGGCCCAATCGCAAATGGCCACCACACCGTCCTGTGGGAGAACCCGGCCGCTACCGCGATTGTGAGTGTTCTCCAGGCAGACCAACCGCGACCGCACCAGGTGCTCGTTGTCCGAACGAATAAGTCCGTGAAGTTGCTCGACAGTGAGAACGCCCTGCTGACCTTCAACGGGGCGGATCGACGCACCGCAGATCTGGGCGAATCCCCCCTGCTCGTAGTTGTAGATATGGCAACCCGCCTCGCAGATGATCTCGTCGCCCGGCTGGGTATGCGTCCGCACTGCCAACAAGTTGCTCATGGTGCCGGAGGGGACGTAAAGTGCCGCCTCTTTACCCAATATCTCGGCCAGTCGTTCTTGCAAGCGATTGACGGAGGCGTCTTCATGAAAGACATCGTCCCCGACTTCGGCTTCGGCCATGGCTGCCCGCATCGCCGCTGTTGGCTGGGTTACCGTGTCGCTCCGTAAATCAATCAAGCGTGACGCCATGTTCTTTTCCGTAAGCTGGAGAACCGGATGCAGGTGTCGGACCTTCGGGCCAACCTCAAATGGGCCTTACTCAATTCTACTCCCTTCAGCCTGGGATGGCTTGCCGGAGGAGCGGTCACCAAAAGGGGTTTACAACCACCCGTTGGTTCTAGCCGCAGGCCGAAAGCAGCTCAAGACAATCGAGACCCCTGGAGATTTCCCAGTGAAGGTTCTCGCCCCACCGCGAACCAAGACTGCGAATCACCCGTCTAGGTTCTCGGGCGGGGCCTTTCGGTTCGGCGGCGAGTGAGACACAATGCAATGCTCGGAGCAAGCAACAGGCGGCTCTCCTGGACACTTGGCCATCCGACCAGACTTTCGGCACCTGAAACCGGCAATATCTCCCACCCATGAATGACAAATCTCTCAACCTTCGCCGCATCGACACGCGAACGGACGATGCCCGAGAGGCGTTGGCGAAGCTGCGAAAACAGCTAAGCCCCACGGGTGACGTGGTCAGCGATGCGGGCCGTGAACTGACCAAGAAGGTGTTCGGCGAACCGCTGACCCCGCAACAAGTCGTCGAGCGAATCTGTCGCGATGTGCGAGATCAAGGACTCGAGGCGGTACTCGACTACAGCCGCCGCATCGACCGCGCCGAGCAGACAGCAGAAACCATCCGTGTCTCCGCTAGTGAACTGGCCGAAGCACACGCCAATGCACCATCGAATCTGCTCGAAGCTGTCCGTCGGGTGCGAGACAACATTCTTAAGTTCCAAACGGCCATCTTGCACAAAGACGTGCAGATCGATGCTCCCGGAGAAGGCTTTCTCCGACAACGCTACGTTCCATTGCGAAGAGTTGGACTATGCGTCCCGGGAGGGGCGGCCGCCTATCCTTCCACGGTGCTGATGACCGCCGTGCCCGCGCAGGCCGCGGGTGTGAAGCAACTGGCCGTGATTGCCCCGCCGACGGACTTCGGGGGTAATAACCCGGTGATTCTGGCCACGTGCCATGAATTGGGCATCGAAGAGGTCTACCGCATCGGTGGTGCTCAAGGAGTGGCGGCACTCGCTTACGGTTGCGGCGAGACGATTCCGGCTGTCGATAAGATCGTTGGGCCCGGAAATTTGTTTGTGGCCTTGGCCAAGCAGTTCGTCTTCGGACAGGTCGATATTGATTCCATCGCCGGACCGAGCGAAGTGGTTGTGATCGCCGACGATTCGACCAACGCCGAGTACACCGCGGCCGACTTGATTGCCCAGGCCGAGCATTCTCCCGGCTCGGGCATTGTCATTTCGTGGAGCGAGCAACTGCTGGACGATACGCTCGCCGCCTTGAATCGCCAGCTCACGCGGCTTGAGCGGGGCGATCTTGCCCGACGTTGCCTGGAAGACTTCGGGGCGATGATCCTCGTTCGCGATCAAGCGGAGGCAACCCGGATGGCCAACGAGATCGCTTCCGAGCATCTGCACATCGCGACCGAGAATGCCGAAGAAATGTTGGCAGATATTCCCAATGCGGGGGCCACGTTCCTCGGCCCCTACAGCCCTGTGGCCGTGGGCGATTACGCTGCAGGTCCGTCGCACGTGTTACCCACCGGCGGAACTGCTCGCTTTGCTAGCGGTTTGTCGGCCAACGATTTTCTCCGTAGTTCCAGCGTGTTGCACTTCAGCCGCAAAGGGCTTGCCAGTCTGGCCGACGATGTACGAACGCTGGCCGATGTGGAAGGGCTCACCGCTCACCGTGCCAGCGTCGATGTGCGGCTCGACGGAAAGTAGCAGGAGGCATGATGTCATACTTTCGGCCAGCCATCGATGCCATGACGGGTTACGTTCCCGGCGAACAGCCCCAGGGCGGCAAGTTCATCAAGCTGAACACGAACGAGAACCCCTACCCTTGTTCTTCGGCCGTGATACAAGCCGTCGAGGCGGCGCTACGCGGAGGGCTTGCCAAGTACCCCGACGCCACCGCCACGGCGTTTCGCCATCGGGCCGCAGAACTGCACGGCGTTGATCCCGATTGGATTCTCTGCGGAAACGGCAGTGACGAGATCCTGACGATCGTCATGCGGGCTTTCGTCGGCGAAGAGCAACTCATTCGGCTACCGCACCCAAGTTACGTGCTCTACAAAACGCTGGCCCAAATTCAGGGCGCCCGAAGCGAAGAGATTCCATTCAATGACGATTGGTCTCTCCCTGCGGCATTCACGGCGGCCGACAAAGAGCTCCGGCTCGCTTTCTTACCGAACCCCAACAGCCCCTCGGGCACGGTCATTCCTCCCGACGGCGTGCGAGAACTGGCCCAAGCCCTGCCCTGCCCGTTGATCGTTGACGAGGCCTACGTCGACTTTGCCGAGACCGACTGCGTGTCGCTGGTGCACGATTGCGACAACGTGCTGGTGACGCGAACGCTGAGTAAGTCCTACGGGCTCGCGGGCCTGCGATTTGGTTACGTTATCGCGCAGCCACAACTCATCACCGGGCTGATGAAGGTTAAAGACTCGTACAACTGCGATACGCTCTCGATTGCCGCCGCCACGGCGGCCATCGACGATCAAGCCTGGCTGGCAGAGGCGCGTGCCAAGATCATCGCCACTCGGGCGAAGTTGGTCGAGTCGATGCGGGGCTTGGGCTTCGATGTGGTCGAATCTCAGGCGAATTTCGTGTGGTGCACCCAAGAAAAGTTCGATTTGCAGCGCATTTATGAGGGGCTCAAAGAGCAACGGATCTTGGTCCGATATATGAAGTATCCTAATTGGGGGGAAGGATTGCGGATTTCGGTTGGCACCGACTCGCAAATCGATGCCTGCCTGAGCCTCATCGAAGGGCTGATCTGAGACATTTCAGTCGCCCACCCAAGACAACCTTTCCCGCTATCGAATCCAGAACTTCCACTATCCGAGAGCCTGCATGTCACGCACCGCCACGGTCGATCGAAAAACTGCGGAAACGCAAATCCGCCTGGAACTGAATCTCGACGGTTCAGGCCAGTCGGAAATCTCTACCGGGGTGGGTTTCTTCGATCACATGCTGACCCTGTTGGCGAAGCACGCCGTGATCGATATCAAGGTTAAAGCAGACGGCGATCTCCATGTCGATCAACATCACACCGTGGAAGACGTGGGAATCTGTCTGGGCCGCGCGATTCGAGAAGCCTTGGGCGACAAGTCAGGCATTCGCCGCTATGGGCACTTCACACTTCCCATGGAAGAAACGCTCGTAACTTCCGCCATCGATTTCAGTGGGCGGTACTTTCTAGTGTTCAACGCACCGTTTTCTTCGCCCAAGATTGGCGAGTTCGATAGCGAGCTGGTCGAAGATTTTTGGCAAGCCACGGCTGCAAACGCGTTGGCCAACCTGCATGTGATGGTTCACTACGGACGGAACAACCACCACATTGCCGAAGGCATCTTCAAAGCCACGGCCAGGGCATTGCGCATGGCCGTGGAAGACGACCCACGGCAAAGCGGCGTGCCCAGCACCAAGGGCACGCTCGACGGTTGAGCAGCTTCACCGATGCTCAATCGTGGATGTACGTCTCCAAGAATCGGGCCAGCTTGTGGATGTCCGACTCGGGATGCACATAGCGAACCACGGTCACCAGGTTGTCGGGGTTGACCAACTTCTCGAACGGCACGTAGTTCAAGTCGAGCTGCCCTGACACCGAGACCATAACGCCGTCGAGTTTCTTTTCGACGAGAGCCCGATAAGAGCCGACGCCCAATTGGCTTCCCAGCATCACATCGAAGGCGTGAGGCCGAGCACAGCGAGACTCGTAGCCCAATTGCAGGCCCGTCACTTTTCGACTGCGGCCGGTCTCTCTTTTGTATTCCTCGGAAACAAGTCGGGCGAACATATTGCCGAGGTTCACTTTCGAGATGGCAATGTGTCCATGTTCATCACGATCGATACCGGCCAGGTACTTCTGCGGTAAGTATTCGGCCAGCCCTTCGGCAAGCACGATGACCCCGAATCGCTTGCCCTCCGATTCTTCCCGTACTCGCATGGTGGCCACGATGCGGCTAACGACCTTCTCGAGTTTCATGCACTTTCGAGTTTCTGTTTCGCCGGTTTCCTCGTCGACCACCTCTTCCTCTTCGGTGAACTCATCGGTCATGTCCTCGACGCTAATCACCAGGCTGGCTTCTCCGGCGATGGCCGCCCCGTAGGCTAGCCACCCGGCCGAGCGGCCCATGGTTTCGGTCAAGAAGTAAGTCTCGGTCGATTCAGCATCGGCCAGCAGGTTGCGAATTTCGCTGGCCAGGAACTCCACCGCGGTGAAGTATCCAAAGGTGAAATCGATGCCCATGTAGTCGTTATCGATAGTCTTAGGCAGATGCACGACCGGGATGCGACGGGAGTTCTTCGGCAGATAGTTTTGGAAGAGCTGCATCTTATTGGCGGTCTTCAAAGTATCATCACCGCCGATTGAAATCAGGGCATCGACTCCGATCGAACGAAGTGCGTTGTAAACGGTTTGCAGCGGTGCCCGACGTTCTTCTTCCTGGAAATGATCCGGGTGCGAAATCAGCTTGCCTGGGTTCGACCGTGCGGTGCCGATCATGATGCCCTGAGTATTCCGAGTCCGCTTGAGCATCTTGTGATCGATTCGCACGTAGTCGTGGCCTTCGACAAGCGGCCGGTCGCCTGCATACTCCATCAGGTGCGAGTAACCGCGAAGCACGCCGATCACGTCGATGCCGTTTCGCAGAAACGAAACCGCGGCAGTGGAAATAACCGCGTTGGCCGCCGGGGCTGGGCCACCGGAGAACAAGATGGCCACACGACGAATATCTGTTTCGACAACCGGGGGACGTGACAAGGTCGACATCAACGACTCCATTACTAATCAGGTTGACGAGTTGAGAATCAGTCCATGCCTAACAAACGATGCGGAACGCTGTGGATGGAAAAGGTCTGGGAGTGCTCGAGTACGCGACTTTAGATAGCAACGACCCGGACTTACCCCACATCCGCACCCGTTTGAAATCGTAAGCGGGCTATTACCATTCTAAGAAATTGGCGCGCACCAATCCAAACCTAGTGGCAAGAAAGTGGGGGCTTAGTTCGTCCAAGTCCGTTCGATGAATGTCGTGTCGACTCGTACATCGTGGTAGGCCGAATGGTTGAGGATATCCTTCAACCGGGGCACCGTGGTCTTGATGCCTTCCACGTGGAACTCTGAAAGTGCGCGGAGCATGCAACTGATTGCTTCGTCCCGCGTGGGCTTGTGAACGATCAGCTTGCCAATCATCGAATCGTAGTAAGGCGAGACGGTGTAACCTTGATGAGCGTGCGAATCGAACCGAACGCCGAGTCCGCCAGGAATGATCATTTTCTCGATCTTTCCTGCGCTGGGACGGAAGTTGTGCTCAGGGTCTTCTGCATTGATGCGGCATTCGAGCGAAACACCGTTCACCTGGATGTCCGACTGTTTGAACGGCAACTCTTCCCCGGCCGCAACCCGAATCTGGGTTTTAATCAGGTCGATGCCGGTGATCATCTCGGTGATGGGGTGTTCGACCTGGATGCGAGCATTCGCCTCGATGAAGTAGAAGTTGCCGTTTCGATCGGCGATGAACTCCACGGTGCCCGCGTTTCGATAATTGGCCACCTCGACTAAGCGAACCGCCGCTTCGCACATACGTTGACGCATGTCGGGGTCGATCGCCGGGGCGGGGGCTTCTTCGATCAGCTTCTGATGTCGCCGCTGAAGGGTACAATCGCGTTCCCACAAGTGGCAGGCGTTGCCATGATGGTCGGCGATGACCTGCACTTCGATGTGCCTGGGATGCTCGATGAACTTCTCGAGGTAAACACTCCCATCGCCGAATGCCGCCTGAGCTTCGGTTTGGGCCTGCTGCACGGCTGACTTTAGAACCAGATCATTGGCAGCAACCCGCATTCCACGTCCGCCACCACCAGCCGAGGCTTTCACCAGCACGGGAAAACCAATCTCGTGGGCGACCCGCAGGGCTTCTTTCTCATCGGTGATCAGCCCATCGCTACCGGGCACCACAGGCACTTCGGCCTCGCGGGCGATGCGTCGGGCCTCGTTCTTGTCGCCCAACTGCCGCATGGCTTCGTGGGTGGGGCCGATGAAGTCGATGTTGCAACTGCTACAAACTTCGGCGAAGTGAGCATTCTCGGCCAGAAATCCATAGCCGGGGTGAATGGCCTGAACGTTCCCGACTTCGGCCGCGCTGATTACATTGTTGATCTTGAGGTAACTCTCACTGGCCTTCGCTGGGCCAACACAGTAAGCCTCGGTGGCGAGCCGCAGGTACTCGGCCCCTCGATCGGCTTCGCTATAAATGGCCACGGTCTCTACGCCCAACTCGTGGCAGGCACGAATGATTCGAAGGGCAATTTCGCCGCGATTGGCTACCAAGATTCGCTTGTACATAAGAACAATTCATCCGGCTCGGCGCGCATCGCTGAATTCGCAGTTGCAAATCAGGCTTGTCGCCTCAGGGGAACTTGTGGCTAGCCGCCCTTCTCGACCTTGAACAGCGGCTGCCCGAACTCGACCGGTTCGCCGTCTTCAACAAGGCGGGCGATGATCTTTCCAGACATCTCGGCGGGAATTTCGTTGAACACCTTCATGGCTTCGACGATGCAGACAACGGTGTCTTCGCTAACGTGATCGCCCGGTTTGACGAACGCTGGCGAATCGGGGCTGCTGGCCGCGTAGAAGGTGCCCACCATTGGGCTCTTGATCGTGATCGCCTGCTCGGCGCTCGGTGCAGCTTCGGCAGGAGCCGCAGCGGGGGCCGCAGGAGCCGGCGCAGGTGCTGCGGCCGGAGTAGGGGCCACCACCGTTGCTACCTCACCGCCCTTGCGGAGCCGAATGCGAACGCCGCCTTGTCGGAGATCAACCTCGCTCAGTTCGTGGTCGTCCATCAAGGCGACCAGTCGGCGAAGATGTGCCAGATCGAAGATATCGTCCGGTTTGGACGAGTCGCTACCCATGCCCTACTCTCCGGTTAGCCCAATTCACATCGATTTGTAATTAAACTCGGTGCCCACCCGAGGGCCTTATCTGCCTGCCCGAGACCGCCCTAAGTGTAACCGCCCGTACGATATCATTGCAGTGGTCCTGGGGGACCGCCTAGTTGACGTAAATCTCTTCGAATTCCTTCGGCACGGAGGTAAGTACCTCGTGCCCGTCCTTGGTCACCAACACGTCGTCCTCGATTCGAACACCGCCAAACCCTGGAAGGTAGATTCCCGGCTCGACAGTAACCACCATTCCTGGCTCGAGTACCTGTTGGTTATTACTCGTAAGTCGTGGGCCCTCGTGGATATCGAGTCCTATCCCGTGGCCGAGCCCATGTCCGAAGCGTTTGCCAAAGCCTGCCTTTTCAATCACCCCTCGGGCAACCCGGTCCACTTCGTGACAGGTCTTGCCGGGCTTGATTGCGGCGATGGCTTCGAGCTGGGCCTTCAACACAACTCTATATATACGTTCGAGTTTGGGCGGAATCTTACCGGTGGCCAATACCCGCGTCAAGTCGCTCTTATACAGCCCTCCGTCGGCACCCCAATCGACCAACACGAAGGGCGCCTCCTCGATGGTGCGATCAGTCGGTGTGGCGTGAGGCAATGCGGCATTCGACCCCACGGCCACAATCGGTGGAAAACTGCAGCCCTTGGCTCCCAATCCCCGCAGTTGGTACTCCAAATCGTTCGCCACCTGCTTTTCGGTCAAATCTCCCCGAAGCGTGGCCCGAAGGACCTCGAAGCCTTTCTCAGCGTAACGCACGGCTTCGCGCAACAGGCTGATCTCCTCGCGATCCTTGATTTGCCGCAGTTTCTCGACCATCCCGCCGGTACTGGACAGGCTGAGTTGGGCGAGCTTCGCCTCGATCTGCTCCTTGAGGCCGACGGTCATCGAGTCGGCTTCAAAGCCCAGGCTGCTAATCTTGGTTGCCTTGGCCACCTGGCCGATGGCTTCGACCATGCCCACGCCGGGGTTGCGAATGTTGAGCGTCACCCCCGGGCATTCGTCCTCGAGTTGGGTCGTATAGCGGGGATCGCTGAGAATGACTTCGTCGGTGGCCGTGATCAGCAGATAACTGTCGTCACCGGTGAAACCCGTCAGATAGGTGACATTCGTGAAGTTGGTCACCAAAAGTGCATCGACTCCCTCTTTTTTGATCAGTCGTCGAAGTTTCTTGCGGCGGGCAGCGGGATAGTCCATGGTCGTCAAGATCCTGGGGACCGGTGAAATTCCTAATCGGAAGTCTTTTCTCAATAACGTGTTTTGGCTGAATCAGAACCGCGATTCAGACAGCCGTGAAGATACCGCTCGCTGGGCAATGTGCAAACCGGGAATTGCAGTACCCCCCAACATGATTTTGCTGGATTGGGGATTATTCACCCTGCCGAACCCACAGTTCGACGGGACCATACCCCCAGGGAACTTGCCGTGCCAACGACGAGTTCTCTTCCCCAGGGGTAGAACTTTTTCTGGCGTCTTTCGTGAGTTGAATTACAATAGGCCATGCCCAAGGGGCCTCGTCGTGGTTCTACACGACGACCCACTTGAGGCTGCAGCAACGCGGGTATTTGGCTATGAAAGCCCCTTAAGGGTGGGGGCAATCGACGCATCGAGGTGTCGACCACCTTTGGGGAAGTCTCGCGTACATTTGAACTGCTGCGACCGATGTCCGATGGAATGATCCCGTCGAGACCTACGCGCATGAAGCGTTCCGACCAAACGGTAGGGTGGGCCGCGCCGTTTGGCTCTGGCTTCAGATTCGTGGCTTTGAGAGAGCAGCACCTTGAGTAAGCAAAATGGACATACGTCCAATCCCGCGCCCGTGAAGCGCGCCAGCCTTCAGTCGCTCATCCTGAATCAGCTTCGAGAATTCGTCATTGCGAATGGACTTAAACCTGGCGATCGATTGCCCTCAGAACGCGAATTAGCCGCTCGATTGGGTGTGAGCCGACCGACGTTGCGCTTAGCTCTGAACTGGTTGAGCGAGCAGGCCGCGGTTCGTCGTGTTCAAGGCGGGGGAACCTATCTCGAGGAAGGGTTTCTCATGGCCCTCACTCGAAGCCACAACGAGAGCGAGACCACCGATATTCCGTTGGCCGAACTCGTCGAAGCTCGCATCCTCCTGGAGCCCTCGCTGATTCGGATTGCAGCCAAGAACGCCACCGATGAACAGCTCGACGGTCTGGAAAAAGACCTCGAACGGGCGGCAGCCGACTTGAGTGACGTGGAGGCGTGGCGTCAGCACGATCTGCATTTTCACGCTCGCTTGGCTCAGCTTTCAGGCAACCGAGTACTTTCAGCGTCGCTCGATTCGATTGTGCTGAACTTGCCTGGCGTCTGGCAACGATTCCAACCCGGCGAACGTGTAGAGCAGTCGCACGAGGAGCACCGGCTGATTCTTGCCTCTCTCCGTCGTCGAGATGCGGCAGGTGCCGCGCGTCAAATGCGAAACCACCTAAGAAAATTCGAGAGTGAGTTGGGGATTCGCCGTCGTCGCGTGGCCGCACGAAAAGTCAACCGCGAGTTGGCTTCGGTTTAGCTGACCACCAGGTTGGATTCGGCTCCTTAGGCTTCCCTTCTCGCAGCCACCCTTCTGGCTTGCTAACATGAAGGGATGAAAGCCGACGACGCTCAACAGTTTGCCCAACAATTCGCCCAGCAATTCATCGATGGCAAGCTGCCGCTCGATGACTTCGTGAATCGCATGGCCAAAATGGCCACTGCCGATGTAGGCGAGGCTCAGGTCGATCTCGATCGCGCTCGCCGCTGTGGATTCCCCGAGGTGGTCTACGGCGAAGGAAAGAGCGTGGAAGTGATCGCCAAGATCTTTCGCGTTCAAGTCGAGCACGGGTATGCCTCGCTGGCAACTCGCATCTCGGCGGAACAAGCCTCCGAGCTTTCCGCTGATTTCCCGCAGGGGCATTACAATCCTCTGGCGAGAACCTTCCGCATTTCGGCCAAGACTACTTCGGATTCGCAAGATGCCGGTCGCGTGGTGATCGTCTCTGCCGGAACCACCGACCTGAACGTGGCCGAGGAAGCCCGCGAAACAGCCGTCTGGATGGGGCTCGATGTCACCCTCCTGCAAGACATTGGGGTGGCAGGCCCTCAGCGATTACTAGCCCAAGTCCCGCGAATGCAAGATGCCGACGCTATCGTTGTGGTCGCTGGCATGGAGGGCGCACTGCCTAGCGTCGTAGGTGGGCACGTTTCCTGCCCTGTGGTGGCGGTTCCAACCAGCGTGGGTTATGGAGCCAACTTCGGCGGGCTCTCCGCGCTGCTGGGAATGCTCAATAGCTGCGCGTCGAATGTTACGGTCGTCAACATCGATGCCGGATTCAAAGGCGCCTACGTTGCAGGCATCATCGCCCAACGCGCGGCCGATGCGCGGAGAAGCGCCGGAAACTCGCCACAAGGATAACTGGCATGGTCCCGCGTGAGTCAGCTTCAGGCTCGCCCATCGAGGTTGATACCCTGCCCCTGCTTGCACCTCGCGGGGACGAAAGCCACAAGGGTGACTTCGGTCGGGCAGTACTCATTGGCGGTTCCACAGGAATGAGCGGCGCCATCTCCCTCTCGGGTATGTCTGCCTTGCGTAGCGGAGCCGGCCTCGTACGGTTGGCCGTTCCCCGCGACTGTCAGGCGACCGTCTCCGCGTTCGAGCCGTCGTACATGACGCTCGGGCTTACGTGTGACTCCGCCGGGCGAATCGCCCTCACAGCCCGCGACGAACTCAAGTCCCAGGTCGAATCGGCCTCCGCTTTGGCTTGCGGCCCAGGGCTCGGGCGCTCAGAAGATCTAAACGAGCTTGTCGCCTGGCTGTACTCCGAGGTGGGCACTCCATTTGTGTTCGATGCAGACGCCTTGAACGCTCTGGCCGAACAGCCGGAACTCTTGAGGCGTCCAGGTGGTCCGCGGGTCCTAACGCCCCATCCTGGCGAGTTCGCCAGACTCACCGGCGAAGAGTACGACGACGATCCGCAGGCCCGTCGTAAAAATTGCTTCGAGTTCGCCCGGAGCACGGGGGCGACCATCGTGCTGAAGGGCCATCAGACATGCATCAGCGATGGACAGCAGATCGCGGTGAACACCACCGGCAACCCTGGGATGGCAACGGGCGGAACGGGCGACGTGCTGACCGGCGTAATCGCTGCGCTACTATGCCAAGGGCTCGAACCCTTCGATGCGGCCCACTTGGGAGTGCACGTGCACGGACTCGCGGGCGATTACGCCGCACAGGAGTTGGGCCAGGTTTCGCTCATCGCCAGCGACTTGGTGCGACATCTTCCGGCCGCGTTCAAATCGCTGCAACTGCCCGGCTCGACTATCGGGTTCAACCCTGCTTGATACCCGGGGGACTGTCAGGAACGTCCCCTCTCTTAAACGAAGCAACTAGTTCATCTCGGCCCGAATCACTTTCAGCACCGAGGCCATCGCTTCCGGCAGGGGTTTATCGATCGAGGCCCCCGAAGCAGCCCGATGTCCACCACCGCCAAGTTTTTCAGCCACCTTGCTGCAGTCGACTTCCGACCGGCTGCGCAGGCTGATCTTGGTGGTTCCTGATTCTGTGGCCACGAACAGAATCGCCACTTGAGTACCGGAAACCTCCAGGGCCCGATTGATCACGTCTTCGGTGTCCGAGCGGAGTGCCCCCGTGACCTCGAAGTCTTCGTCGGTGGCCGTCATGTAGATGAGCCGACCTGATAGTTCAGACGTTGCACTGGCCATCACTCTTCCGACCAACAACAGCCGGGCCATCGATTGTCGTTCGTACAACTCGCGATAAACCTCGTGAGGTGTTGCTCCAACTTCGATCAGTTTCGCGATGCAACGGTACGTGCCCGCCGTGGTGGAACCAAACCGAAACCAACCTGTGTCGGTGGCGATTGCCGTGAATAGTTGCGATGCGATCTCCGGTGAGGGGCGAATCCCCATCTCGAACGCCGCCTCGGCCACGAGACGGCCCACGGCTTCGGCGTCTGGGTCTTTGAATACTTCGGCGCCCAGGTCGTCTTCGCTGCGATGATGGTCGATCACGATCTTCTTGCAGGTCGCCTTACGCAGCACTTCCGCCATCGGCCCTAACTGATCCCAGGCACTGGTATCGAGCACGATGATGGTGTCGATGCCATCGAGCACCTCTTCGGGGCTACGATCGCCCAAGATCTCAACTTTGTTGTGAGGGTCGATAAACGCCAGACGCTCAGGCGTGGGATCGGCATTGATAATCCTGACCGTCTTGCCCAAAGACTCGAGAAGCCCGGCCATGCCTAGTTCGCTCCCCAGGCAATCACAGTCGGGTCGCGCGTGTCCGGTGAGCAGGAAGTTCTGGCCCTCGTTGAGGACTTCGGCCAGACGACTCCATTGAATATTCAAACTGCTCACCAGTGGCTACCTTTCACACCGAAACTTTGACAAAAGAGAGGCGTTGATCGAATCGACGGTGCCAAGCATCAGGTGCCGGGAATCTCGGATTGCAAATGATCGATGGCGATTTGACGGGCGGTACTCACATCTTCCTGCAGTTGAGCGGTGAGGGCCTCAACGCTATCGAATCGCCGAATGTCTCGCAACCGCTGCAGGAAGTCGACCTCCAGAGGCTGCCCATACAGTGGGTCTTGCCAGCCGATGAGGTGCACCTCCAACTTCAACGCATCTTCGCCGAATGTTGGATTAGGACCAAGGTTCACCGCGGCCGGCCAGGGTTCGCCATTGATATATCCTAGCCCGGCATAGACCCCCGCGGCGGGCATTATCGTATCAACCGCATCAACATTCGCGGTGGGAAAGCCGATCTTGCTGCCCCGGGCCATGCCATGCGTGACCATTCCGCGTAATCGATACGGACGGGTCAGCATCGTGGCCGCCTGGGCAACATCGCCTTCGGCAATGAGCTTGCGGATGCGGGAACTCGACACGAACTCGCCGTCCCTCTTCAAGGGCTCGACGATCTCCAATGTCATTCCGGCCTCCGCGGTCATTTTCCGCAGGAGTTCAATCGTCCCCTCGCGGCCATGCCCAAAGACGAAGTTCGGCCCCTCGACCATTCCTCGCGCGGCCAACCGCTCGCGGATGATCTCGTTGAAGAACTGGTTGGCCGAAAGATTCAGTAACGCCTCATCGGTGGGATATGCGATTGTCATATCCACGCCAAGCTCGCCCAGCAGGTGGGCCTTGCGTTCGGTCCAGGTTAAAGGCGGAGGTGTCTCTTGCGGACGCAGCAATCGGACGGGATGCGGATCGAAGGTGAACACGATCGCCGGTCCACCGCAGGCCTTGGCCGCCGCGATCAGCCGAGAGATGATTCGCGCATGCCCCAGGTGAACTCCATCGAAGTTGCCGATGGCCACCGCTCCGCCCTGAAAGGTCGGGGGTAACGCGTCTAGATTCCGGATCAGTTTCACGTTGTCTCGTCGACGAAAGGCAAATACCGACAGTCGTTTCTTACATTCTCTTCAGCAAACAGCTTCGAGGGCAAAGGCGTGACCGTCTCGAAGCGGTTTTTGTCCCTGGCCGAACCCAACCCATCAGGGGCTTCCCCCAAGTGTCCCCAGAAGAAAGGTCTAGCCTGGACTATACTTAATTCGACACTGCATGGAACCGCATCGTCAAGGCGGGGGTCGATGTGTTATGGTTAGGAAACGCTGATGCGTTGACGAACCGACTCGCCTATTTAGCACTCAGATCCTCGAATCGACCACAGCATGAGTCAGCGTCAGACCCTTCTTTCGCCCGAACTTGCCCAAAGGTTGGCTGCCATCGATATCGGCACCAACAGCATTCGGCTCATCATTGCCGAGCCGCTCACCGACGGAGGCTATCGGGTACTGGACGACGAGCGTGAGTCGACCCGACTCGGTAAGAATCTTTCGGCAACCGGCCATCTCGATCCCGATGCAGTCGATCGCTCGATGGCAACGCTCAAGCGGATGAAGCTAATTGCTGAAGGGTATCAGGTCCGTCAGATGAGGGTCATCGCCACCAGTGCGGTTCGTGAAGCAGACGACGGCGAGGCCTTCTGCCAACGCGCCAAAGAAGAGCTGGATCTCGAAATCGAGGTGATCACGGCCGAGACCGAGGCCCGATTGGCATTCCTGGGCATCACTCGCAGCTTCGACCTCACCGGGAAGAATGTCGCGGTGGCCGACATTGGGGGAGGAAGCACCGAGTTGGTACTGGCCTCCGGCAACTTCATCGAAGCCATCCAGGCAACGCAGTTGGGCGCCGTGAGGATGACCGAACGTTACGGCGGAGATGGAGCGTGGAGTGCGGAGGCTTACAAGCAACTGCAAGAGGCCATCGACCAGGAGCTCCAGCGGGGATTGAAGCATGTGCCCTTCCCGCCCTACTTGCTGATCGGGTCTGGCGGCACCTTCACCACTTTGGCGTCGATTCTCATGGCCAGCAAAGGCCAAGACGGGTTGCCGGTGCGGGGGTACCAGGTCACCCGGGCAGAAGTTTCTCACTTGGTCGCGCGGCTGCGGAAGATGAATTCGAAGATGCGCCGCAGCGTGCCGGGCTTGGGTCCCGATCGGGCCGATATCATCGTCGCTGGGCTGGCGATAATCGACCGAATCATGCGCCACTTTCGCTTGAACCTCCTGCAGGTGCACTCCGGCGGGGTGAGAGACGGTCTGTTACTCAGCCTGGTGGATGAGTCGCGGGGTGGCTCCAAGGATGATCCGCACGACCGTCAAGCGGTGATCGAACGCTTTGCTGCCGCGTGTGGTGTTGAGGTGAAGCACGCCAAACACGTCGCCAAACTAGCCTGTAGTATCCTCCAGCAACTCTCACACATCTTTGATGTCAGCGAAGCCGATACACCCCTGCTCGATGCGGCCGCGCAACTGCAAGATGTTGGCTATTTGATCAACTACGATCGCCACCATAAGCACAGTTACCATCTCATTCTCAACAGCAACCTCAGCGGCTTTCGCCCGCATGAGTTAGAGATGGTGGCCAACCTCGCCCGCTACCATCGCGGTGCGCGGCCCAAGAAGAAGCATGCCAACTTCAATCAGTTGAATGCTTCCGACCGCCGTCGGGTCGAACAGTTGGCCTCGATCCTCCGCGTTGCCGGTGGGCTCGATCGCAGTCACAGTCAATTGGTCGACGCGGTCGAAATCGTACCGCGTAAACGGCACATCGAACTGCTTGTGCACTGCGATCAATACCCTGAGGTCGACATCTGGGGGGCACGACGACGGGCACCCCTGTTCGAAAGAGTCTTCGGTGTAACACTTGGCGTGCGTTGGGCGGGTCCGGCACCCCAGCACCCCGAATCAACCACGGCCGACTCCTCGCTCGATGCCGTCGATCACAGTGCTTGATCTCGCCAACGGTCTGCCCGGAGGAAGTGCTCTCCAAGGTCGTTTTTTTCGTATTCTGCAGAGGGGGATTGATTGCAATCGCCCTTCGAAAAGACCTATACTTTGAATGCCATGAAGGTTCATGGCGAGCAGAGACAAGATTCAGATTTCGACACCTTGCAGACTTTTCTCCCTGAGACGCCAATTCTGGCATCGCTCGGTTGCTCTTCTGGGTGCCCAACTTGGGTTTGTGGCTTTCTGCTCTGCGGCTAACGGACCGTTGGAGAGAATCCTATCGATCGTCAGCCGAAATCTAGTGAGTGTAGTTTGTTTTGGGAGGCTGGAAATGCCACAGGGTAAGATCAAAAAAATCGTTTCGGACCGCGGCTTTGGATTCATTGAAGGTGAAAAGGGCGACCTGTTCTTTCATCACTCCGAAGTAAACGGCGTTACCTTCGAAGAGCTGCAAGAAGGGCAGCTGGTCGATTACGAAATCGGCGAAGGCCGTAAGGGTCCATGTGCACAATCGGTTCACTTGGCTGTTCAAACCGCCTAGCGATCCCTTCAGCGCAGCGAATCAACACACTGCCCAACGCCCCTGAATCCCTGCAGATTCAGGGGCGTTTTTCGTGGAACCACCCTTACGATATCTTCCAGGGTACGAACTTCGCAGTGCCAGGCAGCAACAAGGAGCCCCAAGGATGAAATCGCATACCGAGTACCTCAAGTTTAACGTGCCGGCTCGCATGGACTTCTTGAACATCACGCCCGAGATCGAACAGGTGCTTCGCAATAGCGGCATCTCCGAAGGGCTTCTGCTTTGCAATGCGATGCACATCACGGCCAGCGTCTTCATCAACGATGACGAGCCGGGCCTGCATCACGACTACAAGAAGTGGCTCGAAGAGCTGGCTCCCTTCGATCCTTCGCCAGAACGCTATCACCACAATCGCACTGGCGAAGATAACGCCGACGCGCATCACAAACGCCAAATCATGGGCCGCGAAGTGGTGGTGGCTGTGACCGAGGGCCGCCTCGACTTTGGTCCCTGGGAACAAATCTTTTACGGCGAGTTCGACGGTCTGCGTGCCAAGCGGGTGCTGGTCAAGGTGATTGGGGAATGATCCCCCCATCGAGGCCACACTGCGGGCGAATCATCACTCGCGGAGGTGAGTCGCATTGCCTATTTTGCGCAATCTCACTGCTGCAGCCGCACAATTGGCAGAATCGGTACAGATTCACAACGACTGAAACCGATTGAGAAAAGGCAGAAGTACTTGCGCGCTTGCGCAACGGGGCCTTTTCTTAGCGAGCAATAGTCGACTTCTATGTGGTGCAGCAACTGCCAGCAAGAGATGCCCGCGATGCCTTCGAGCGGGAAAGAGGCGTTATGCCTCCGCTGCGAGACGCCGCTGACTCGGCCGGCAGAAGAGCGCGCTATCGACGAAGCCTTGGGACTTGGAGCTGACAAGACATCAGAAGACTCACCATTGCTGTCGACGGCGAGCGATGATTTCTTCATCTACTCGGCCTACGACGATGATGACCCGGATACGGCCGAAGGCGAGTTGGGCAAATTCCCTTGCGAAGCTGACGAGTGGGAACTCGATCTATCGTCTTCAGAAACGCGGCGTCTTCTGGGGCAGTCGTGGTCCGAAGACCCAGTGATCGACACCACGGAAGCGAACGAGCCTTTCTCATCGCTATTGCACTTGGCTGCCACTGCTCCGGCGATCGGGAAGCAGTTGCCTGAAGCCAAGCCCCCGCAGACGACCAAACCGCGCGGGATTGGTTCTACCTTGAAGTCTTTCGCGGCCTGGACGGCAATCTGCCTGGGCCTCATGGCGTTCGCTTGCGGCGGTGTACTGCTCGGCTTGTCGGTGCTCGGCGAGCGTGGAGAACTGTGGAGCCTGGGAGTGCCGATCACCTTAGTCGGACAGGTCGCGTTACTCGTGGGGCTTTGCTTGCAGCTCGATCGCCTTTGGAGCGAAAACCGAGACACCGCCCAGCGGATTGGCGAAATGGACAAGCAACTCGACGAGCTGCGACAGTCGACCCGCCTTTTGGGAACTCCGTATCACAGCGCATCGCAAAGCTTCTATGCGCACCTTAGCGAAGGCGCATCGCCCAAAATGTTGCTCTCCGACCTCAAGGGCCAAATCGATCTCTTGGCACTTCGCATGAGCCAGGAAGAGAACCGGCGATAACGTCATTCTCGAGTGGGGCGAATTGCACTCAGCCCGGGCGATTAGAATTCTGCGCCCACACGAATCGGGTCGGGCTGCAGCTTGGGACGCGTATTTTCGAGTTGAGCTGCCTCGATATCGATTCGACCCATGGGCTGCTGCTGATCGGCCTGAGGCTCGAACACAGCTAGGAAACCTTCCAGGTGACGCTGATCTTCGGCGATCTGGGCCGCCTGCTCGAAGTGTCGTTGCGAGCCTGCTCGCTGCCCGCCGAAATACATTTGCCAAGCGACCAGAAATTCCAGATCGGCATTCAATGGTTGCTTGTTAAGTTCCTGAAGGAGCGCCACCAAGTGGGCTTCCTGCGCTTCGTCGTTGTCGCGGTAAAGATCGTCAAGGCGATTGCCGGAGATGGCCCAAGTGGGCTTCAATCGCAGCCCTTGCTTGATGGCTTCGGCGGCCAAGTCGTACTGGCCCAGTGCAATCATCGCTTGTCCCCGCCGAAAGTATGCCTCGGCGAAGTCGGGGGCGGCCTTAATGGCCTTGCGATATCGCAACTGCGCGTCGACGTAATCACCTTCAGCAAATTGGTTGTCACCAAAGCCGATGAAGCGGCGGCTCAACTCGCGCGCCCGGGGATTCGAGTTCGGCAGAGCATCGCGATTTACAACGCCCGGCACCGGGTTCGCGGCCGGACGAGCAGGATTCGCCGCGGGCTGATTCGCAGGCGGCGTTATGTTGATGTTCACGTTCGTCGTATTGTAAATCCGCGTGGGTTCCTGGTAGCCATACCCACCGTATCCTCCGCCGTAGTAGCCGCCACCGTAATAGGGCGGGTAGTAGCCACCACCGAATACTGGGTAATAAGGCACGACAACGAAGCCACCGGAGCCCCGACGACGACAATTGTTTCCGAAATTCCCGGAGTTACCACGTCGGGCCAATCCGTTGGGTTGGAAATCGACGTAGCGCGAAGAGAACGGGTTGTGGAGGTCGGCTTGCCGCGCACCGGGAGGCACACGAGGATCATCACCTCGGAGTGAGCCAACGTCGTAACAGAGCACAACGCTGGCGGCGATGATCCAGCAGGCGATATGTCGCATGACTGCGCCTTTTGATTCCAAGAGGATCGACCTGTCGAAGTGCCTTCACAATCATCGGCACTCTCCTGCAACGGGTCTGTGGAATTCGCCCTTCTCTTCCAATGTGATTATTCTCATCTCGACTGTGCGCGGCAAGCTGAATGTCGAGCATAAGCACTTTTATAGCTTGGAATTGTGTCGCGAAGTTGCGACGCTTACTCCATGCTGGCTTGCCCAAGCACTTTCCTCAGAGCGGTTAAGGCAATCTCGCCAAACTGCCTAGGCGGTATCCGCCATATATCGGGGTTCATCAACTCGACAGATATGTAACCGTCATATCCCAGCTCTTTGATGTTGGTAAGCAACGGTTCAAGCAGAAAGTCACCATCGCCCGGAAGAATTCGATCGGCATCGCTGGCCAGCTCCCGTGGCTGCCCTAGAAGGTCGCAAACCTGAATGTGAAACAGGTTCTCATTCGAGAGGTAAGCAATATCGTCGGGCTTGCTGGGACCGCAGTAATAGTGGAACACATCGAGACAGAGCCCCAGCGCGGGCTCGCCGCATTCGGCCACCAGTGCCGCCGCAGTTTGCAGGTTATTGCCGAATGTGGCCTGTGCCTGAAACTCCAGAGCGAGGCGAACGTTTTTCTCTCCTGCCGCCACAGCCGCCTGACCAAGCGACATGCTGACACGCTCCAGGTCATCCTGCGTCAAAGGGCCGTGAACATCGCAGGCCAGAATCAGTGTTTGCACGCCGAGCTGATTACATAGCTCCAAGCGTCGTCCGAAATGATCCCAATGTTCACGTCGGGCATCACCCTGGCTCACCAGCAGTCCGCCCTGAAACGCGGCCACCGGAGCGGCGAGTTCGTTCTCATCTAAAAGCCGGCGGATATCATCGACCGTGTGGTCCTTGAGGTACTGGTCCACCTTTCCCAGCCACAGCTCGATCGCCTCGCACTGACCGGCGGCGTAATCTTCGAAATCGGCTTCCAGGGGTGCATCTAACGTGCACACCTGGCTTATCGCAGGTTTCATAGATCTCGTCCGTTGCCCCCGTTTGAGAAACGCCGACGGACTGTCACTCGGACTCGAAGCCGCGTTGAATGCGAGCGGACAATTCGGCGACGCAATCGTCGACCTTCACGCGCCACTGCTTTAGCGTATCACGATCGCGGAAGGTTACCGTGTCGTCTTCCAGTGTCTGGCCATCGACCGTGATGCACAACGGGGTACCAGCCTCGTCCTGTCGTGCATATCGCCGTCCCACGGCTCCCTTTTCGTCGTAGAACACGTTGTGGCCTTCTTTTAGGTCGGCGTAAATCCGCTGGGCGATTTCCGGCATGCCGTCTTTTGCCACCAACGGTAACACGGCCGCCTTAATGGGAGCCAGCTTGGGATGCAGCTTCAGATAAACGCGTTCGCGAGATTTCCCCTTGGCATCTGGCACGTCGTCTACCTGGTACGACTCGCACAGAAACGCCAGCGTGGCCCGGTCGGCGCCCGCGGCTGGCTCGATCACGTGGGGAATGAATCGCTCGCGGGTTTGATCGTCGAAGTACGTCAGGTCCTTTCCGCTACCACGATGCCGCGGCTTACCGTCTTCACCCGACTCGACAACAAGCTCTTCACCCTCGCGGACCAACTTGCCTTCCATGTGGCTGCGAAGATCGAAGTCGCCGCGATGCGCAACACCCTCAAGCTCTCCAAATTCTCCGGTCGGCAAGAACGGGAAAGCGTATTCGATGTCGGCCGTCCCGCACGAGTAGTGGCTCAACTCATCGGGATCGTGATCGCGAAGCTGCAATCGCTCGCTGGCCAGTCCGAGGTTCACATACCACTGGTAACGCTTATCCCGCCAAAACTTGTACCACTCGGGCGACTGGCTGGGGTGGCAGAAGAACTCCATCTCCATCTGCTCGAACTCACGCGAACGGAACGTGAAGTTTCGGGGTGTGATCTCATTGCGGAAGCTCTTGCCAATCTGCGCGATACCGAACGGCAACTTTACTCGGGTGCTGTCCAGAACATTCTTGTAATTCACGAACATGCCCTGCGCGGTTTCAGGTCGCAGGAATGCCGCACTTTCCTCACCGCCCAATGCGCCAAGGTACGTCTTGAACATAAGATTGAATTCGCGCGGTTCGGTCAACGTGCCGAGTTCCTTCGCGTCGGGCCCCAGCACCTCTCCGAAGTTTTCCAGAGTTGTGAGCGACACCATCGGGCCATCCCAGGAAAGCCGGTCAGCATCTTTCGCGCGAAGTTTGAAGTGCTTTAGCGCCCGTCGCTCGACCTCCGCCTCACCTTCGTCGCCGGCGGCCTCGATGGCGATGAACGCGCGATTCTCGCCGACTTTTGCCCAGCGGCCTTCCACTTGATCGTAGCGGTACCGTCGTTTCGATTGACGACAGTCGACCATGTAGTCGTGGAACAGGTCGTAATGTCCCGAGGCCTTCCACACCTGCGGGTGCATGATGATCGTGCACTCGAGCCCGGTCATTTGGTAGGCCGAAGGAGCCCCGGGAGGAACGATCTGATCGTTGTGGCCGGTGACCATCTCGCGCCACCACGTTTCGCGAACGTTGCGTTTCAGCTCGACGCCCAGAGGGCCGTAATCCCAGAATCCTTGAATCCCGCCGTATATTTCGCTGGATTGAAACAGAAAGCCCCTGCGTTTACAGAGCGCGACGAGTTGATCCATCTCCATGATGTCACCGAGCTAAAGTTATTGTTTTCAGTCACGATGCGCTCTCAGCATCGTTTCGTTTGTGATTGGAACGACCGTGTTGGGCGGAAAAACCCCTATAGGGAACGCCCTCCGTGGCGTTCCGTGAATCGCAACCTGATTCGGAACGTCACGCAGCTTATTCCCTACAGAAATCGCTACTCCCCTCCTGGACAGGTCTCCCAGTGTAATGGCCACCGTGGTCGATGGTCCATGGCCGAAGTAGGCCACAGGGCGCGGTCACGCTCCATCGGCCTCTGATTCAGCGGGAGTGTGCTCTCGGAGCCAATCGGCGACCAGCGTATCGAGCAGTAGTTGGCCAACGTGATACGTAATCATCGGCAACATCGCCAGACCGCTGAAGTAGGTGGTGGCAATGTGCAGTCCGATCATCAGTGTCTTCTGGCTGCCGCCGAACCCCACGGCGATGCGATCCCCACGCGGGATTCCAATCACCCGACCAATCCCGTGCCCACCGAAGAGAACCGCCAGGTGCACGCCCAGAACGCAGGTGATCATCAACACCCAATCGCCCGGACCAATCGAACGATCACCCGTGCCCAGCTCTTGGCCCGCACTCACGGCGCCAATCAGTACCATGGTGAGAATGCCGCATTGAGCCACCACACCCAAGGGAACTTTGTTTCGTACTGCCCAAGCTCCACAAGGCTTGAACAGCCGCAACAGTTGTCCCAGGAAGATTGGAATCACCACCAGGACACCCAGCTTAGCCATCATTTCAAGCGGCGGGTCGAGTTCGACATCTTGCCCAGTGCTGGCCAGCAACCACAGCGGCACCACGATAAAACAGGCCAGGTTCGTGATCATCGTACACAGAATGGCCACCGCATCGTTCCCTCCGGCGCGTCGTGTCCACACGGCCGCTGAAGCCAATGTGGAAGGAACGCTCGCTGCGATCATCAGCCCTGCACTCAAATCGTCTCGCAGCAGCCAGGAGACCGGCCACGCCAGTAGCGGAACGGCCAGCACGTTCAACAGTACGGCGAGCAGCACAGCCTTTGGGCGGCGCAGCGCCTGCCACATACTGCTGGCGTCTAGCGGTAGGGCCATCAAGAACAGCACGCCGGCCACAATGAGTTGTCGGGGAATGTGAACCGTGAGCGGTTCCAGCGAAGCCGGAAAGCCAAACCCCACGATCAGCATCAGGGCCAGCGTGATGAGGAACCATCGATTGCGAAAGAAATGCAGCATGCGGGTTGCGAAGCAGGGACGGCGGCGAGATGAAAGCGTGCATCGTAGGGCACACCCCCGTTGACGACCAGTCGAGCATTAACGGCCCAGTGCTAAGCTCCACGAAGCAGGGCCACACACACGACGGTGACCATCACGGCTCCAAACAACAGCTTGGCCAGCGTACCCATCAGTCGGCCCCAGAAGGCGGCCTCGCCGATCTTCAAGCTGTGGGACAGATTCTGCCCTGCCCATTGTTCGCCGATTACGGCACCCACCAAAGCCCCCAGTGCGGCCAGTGCGAGCGATGCGATGACTGAACCAATGACTGGAATTGGTGCGCCAACGAACAGCCCCGCCACACCTCCGGCTAGCGAACCGACCAGGGCCATCATTGCCCCGCGTTTGCTGCCGCCCTTCCCCGTCACGCCGAGTGCTGCGGCAAGTGCTTCAGCGATTTCCCCCAACAACGCCGAGGCTGCCAAGATCCCCAGCACACCCATACCAATCGCTAGATACCCTTCCTGAGGTCCGAAGAACACGTACACGGCTGTCGCTGCCACAATAATCCAGTTGCCCGGCAAGCCAATCAGTGTGGCAAACCACGACACGATGACGACGAAAACCAGCAACAAGGCCCAAACGATATCCATGGCCAGCAGTCTAATTCCTGAACCAGGGGCAGGAAGACAAAAGGGTGAGATGTGGGGGTGGAATTAATGAGCGAGCGGCTTTCACAAACGCGCTACTCGTCCTTAGGAGTCGATTCTTCCGCGGCGGGTTCGTTGGAAGATTCAGGATCGTCGCTCGACGGTGGTTCATCTTCTGGGGCGGCCTGTGGTTGCAAACGTTGGGCTCGAATTCGGTTGCCGTGTTCTTGGGGGGAATCTGCCTTCTCGTAAAGGGCGATCGCCTCATCGTCTCGTCCCAGTGCCTCGTAGGTTCGGGCCAGATTGTACTGCGCGGCCTCGGTCCAGGGCCCGTCGGGCCAGGCGTCCAGCGTGCGGTGCTGGAAGTAGTCGAGCGCCGTGTCGTAGTCGCCACGCTCGAATGCCACGACGCCAAGCCAGTAGCTGGCGTCTTGTTTAGCTCTCAGCACCCGTGCGGCTTCTTCCTCGGTAATGTAAATCCGCTTGTCTTTTTCAACCGACTTTCGCACAACCTGGGCCGACTTGATCTCTTCGTTCGAAGGCCGCGAATCTTGGTACTTACTTAACGCCCCGTCCTCACCCGTGTATTTTCCCTTGATGTGCAGCATGCGACCGGCCCGAACTGCGCCCGCCCAGGGCCGGAATTGCCCAGGGAATCCGGCGCTGCCCGCTCCAGGGTAAAGCTCTGCGAGTTTTTCCCGAACCGATTCGTTCTGAAGTGATAAAGCTTCGAACGGAACTCTCCACAGCCCAACCTCGTCGAAACGCCCCGTCGCTTTGAGTTGCTCTGCCAGCGAGCTGGCGTCGACATGCAGAACCATTTTTTGGTCACCGGTCAGGTTGAACTCGAGTTGACGTTCGCGTCCGGCTAGATAACCGGGCGAAGCTTCAATCAACGCGGCAACGTGTTCAAGCATCGTCGATGTGACGGGATAGGGCTCGCCATCGATATCGAGTTGCCGCAAAAGGCCATCGTCTTCACGCAGCTCAGCCAAAGTCGCGGCCGGCTTACCTTCCGGGCCCGGGATAGGGATTCCCAAGTTGGGTTCGAATACGAAGAACTTCGCCGAGCGCTTCGGGTCTTCCCCTTTGGCTTCCACGAACAAAGCCGGAGCCCAGTCGTGCCACTGCGACTCATTATCCTGGTCGCGGTAGGCCAACATCACGACATTCAGTCCACGTTGTCGCGCGAGTAACTGGAAGACCCAGGCTCTTTCGATGCCGGTACCCTGGCCGATCAGCATGGTTTGCCACGGGAGCAGCATCTCTGGCCTCTGCTCCACCTCGACATCGTTGACCAAAGCGATGTTGCGAACCGTCCAATCGAACAGACGCATGGCTTGAGCCAGTTGATTGTTTTCGGCGTCTTGCTCAGGATCCCCCTGCCCCTGCGGTGGAAGCGAGTCTCGAAGCGCCGGATCCATGCCCGCGCTGGCCGCCGCGTCGCGAAGCCAGATCACCTCGCGGAGGAAATCGCCGTCGTAATCGGTGAATCGATCTTCAGACAGTCCTGCGACTTCAGGTAAGCCTCGCAAATCGTCGGGCAATTGATCGACGAGTGGATCTTGCTGCCAGGGGATGGGCTCAATCAGTGGAAGCCATTCATTCAGGCGGCCCACGACCCTTTCCTGCATATTCTCGTCGTAGCGTTCGAGTCGATTCAGGTTATCGATGGCGAATTCGAAGAAGTCGTCGCGGTAGGCCGTTTGATTTCGCTCACCAGTCCCCATCGAAAGCGACTCGGCAGGATCGTTGCCACTGCATCCAGTCCACAGCGGCGCCGCCAAGGCAACTCCCACTACGGCGGCAAGGGTAGCGAGCACACGCGGGCTTCGTAGTTCAGTCGATCTCGCCACCAATCTCCTCCACCGTGTTTCGTAACTTCATCAACCGTTTGAGCAGTGCCGGCAACTCGTCTAGCGGAATCATATTCGGGCCATCGCTGGGCGAACTCTTGGGGTCGGTGTGGGTTTCGAAGAACAAAGCGTCCACACCAATTGCCGTGGCTGCTTTGGCCAACGGTTCAACCATCTCCCTGCGTCCGCCGGTTGCCCCACCCAACCCGCCGGGTTCTTGCACGCTATGAGTGGCGTCGAAGACCACGGGCGTGCCAAGGTTCCGCATCTCGACCAGGGCCCTCATATCGTTGACCAGCCGGCCATAGCCAAAAAAGGTTCCTCGTTCGCACAGCAGCACGTCGTTGCATCCTGCAGCTTCCAGTTTGCCGACGACATGGCGCATGTCGCCAGGGGCCTGAAACTGCCCCTTCTTCACGTTCACACTCTTACCAGTACGGGCCGCGGCCAGCAGCAGATCGGTTTGTCGGGCGAGAAACGCCGGAATTTGCAGTAAATCGCAGACTTCGCCCACGGGTGCCGCCTGCGAGGTCTCATGAATATCGGTCGTCACCGGAAGCCCGGTCACCGATTTCACCCGAGCCAGCATCTCCAGGCCCTGTTCCAAGCCAGGCCCGCGATACGCCTCGACGCTCGTGCGATTTGCCTTATCGAACGATGCCTTAAAGACCAGCGGAACGTCGAGTTCCTGGGCGATATCCTTCAAAGCCGAAGCGATGCGGAGAGTCAGTTCCTTGGTTTCTAGGACACAAGGGCCCGCGATCAACATCAGGGGCTCGCCCCTGCCACAGCGATAGGGCCCCACGCTGGCTGGATTATGCGGCATCGTCCGCCTCCTCTCTTAGACGACAAGTCGCGAGCCAGCATACGCTCCCCACCCGCGACGTGAGGGAAGAAGTATATCGGCCTTCCGATCCCACGTAACTACGTGCCAAGCTGAACGCCAGTTTGCCCCGCCCGCACGCCCGAGAAGCAAAGATCTGCCGTTTATCGCAGGAATTCACCAGAGAGTGGCAAATTCCATAGATGAGACGCCAAACCGGCGCGCCATGCGATCGTGCACATCACTGCGGGGGGGCTACGTGAGCTGTCTAAAGCCCCGGATTCTCAAATGGAGACGGGGTCGAAGACGCTCCCGCAAGGCTGGGTGAGAGTAATTCGGGATGGCGATGACGCATTGTGTGTCTTCAACCAATTGATAATAAACACTTTGCGGTGAATGAGACTCTTGTTTTGTCTCGGATTGAGACGCATAAGTGCCCCATAGGGCCATTTCCACCATTTCGGGGTGCATCAGTGGGGTGCTGTCGTACGTTCTTGCGCCAGGTGCTGCAAAAAACAACATGGTTCGGATCAGCCTAAATCTATTTGAAATAGCGACTTAGGATAAATTTATTTCGCGTAAACTGCTTATGGGGCTGCATTGTACGACAATCGCCCAGGGTGAATTTTTGGCCGGTTGTAAGGATTGGCACGCACAATGCATTAACGGATCCGCCAGAACGATAACAACGATCGTTCTCCAAAATATTCCCGAGCTGGCCCGCGGGGCCTCCGACGCGTGTTGGCGGGATGGTTAACTTGCCCCTGGCCATCCCGTTTCGTCATCTTGTGATGGCACGTCGGAGGCTCCCTTTTTTTGCGCTCGGTCGATCTGTGAGAGCTGGGCCGATGATCCTGCTCCCCTGGAATGTGAGACCAGGTGGGCATTTCCCGCGTTCTTAAGGCAAATGCTATGGTTTCGATGGACTAGGGAGTCGGCATGCGTGCGACTTCCAACGGTCTGCGATCCCTGCAAAGCACGCGTGTTTCTATCGTAGCCACCGAGAAACCCCATGGCAGATGAACCCAAAGCAGACGAGCAGGCGGCCAGTGCCGAGGCCAAGCCGGCCAAGAAAGGCGGAGCGGCGAAACGAGTCTTCGCAGCCGCTACGAGCCGAGCGACTTTGGCCGTCTTGTTGGCGATTTCGCTGGTCATGCAAGGGGTTGGCTTTTGGTACTTCCGCAGCACTACGGCCGCACAACAGCCCGAGGGCGAAGTAACCCTGGGCGATTTCGTCTATCAGGAGAATCGGCCTACAACCGCGAACATCATGGCTGCCGAGTTCACGCTTCACATCGATCTCCTCGAAGCGCTCGATGACGAAGCTCGCGAACGCCTGGCTCAGCGGCAGTTTCGGGTAAAACAAGACGTCGAAGAGCTGATGCGGATGGCGAAAGGGGCAGACTTCGAACAAACCGCCATGGATCAGCTCAAGCGAACCCTGCAGGAGCGGATCAACGCCAGCCTCGACATGAGGGCGGTCGATGAGGTGATCATCACCGATCTTCGCGTGCAACGCCGTCCGCTCGAAGTCGCAGAGACGCCCTCCACCGATGCAACCACCCCCAGCCCGGCCGGGTAGACGAGCCCGCTAGTTCACCACGATGCAGCCGGATTGCCTTCGTCTTTCCACCGCGATTGTGT